AGAAAAACCTGCAAGCATGTGCCAACAGAAACAGCAGGCTGATGGGGGGGGGGGTAGGCCCTCCCAGGGATCACTATGTCTAATAGGTGAAAGCTTGGCCTTCTCTGCACCGGCTCTGGGTCAGAGCCAGGCATGTCCCCGACTCCCTGGCTCCTTGCCTTATTCTTCTGTAAGATGGGCTCTTAATTTAGATAGCACTTACAATGCTCCTGCCCCAAAGAGTCCAAAGGTGAAGTTGCAGGCCGCTGTGCCCCAGGTGTTCTCAGAGAACAGGTTCTCAATCCTGAAGAATATCTGGTAGGTTTTGTGGCTCTTAGGATGGCTGTGTCTGGATCCTTATCAACTTTAGATGCTTCTATGGAGAGCAGCAGAGGCAGGTGCTACTGTGTGCTACCGCAGTGAGTGTGATATGAGCCCTGCCTGGGAATAGCTTCTGAGAGTCAGAGAGGAGTAGGACTCTGAAGCCATCTTTTGTCTCTGTTGAAGTTTTTCTCCTGTGTCCTGCCCACTCCCGCAGTCCCGCGGTCCTGTAGTCCGGCCTCCACTCAGACCCAAATGAACACACAGAGGCTTAATATTAATTAAAACTGCTTGGCCATTAGCTCAGGCTAACTACTGACTAGCTCTTACACTCACACTCAGCCCATTTCTGTTCATCTATATGTCACCACATATTCCATGGCTTTACCTGTGTGCCATTTCATGCTGCTCCCTGGACAGTGGGCTGGCGTCTCCTGACTCAGCCTTTCTCTCCCAGAATTCTCCTTCTCTGCTTATCCCACCTATACTTCCTGCCTGGCTACTGGCCAATCAGCATTTTATTTATCAACCAATCAGAGCAACACATTCACAGCATACAGAGCAACATCACCCACCACACATGCAGGCTCAGGGCTGATATATACTGGAAATGTGGGTGAGAACTTTGGACAGTAGCAATGTGACCTGACCAGACCTCTCTGGAATTTCTGAAGAGACAGTGAACATCTGTGAACAACTTTCTATGTTAGGGCCTCATCAAGCTGTCTTCTATATTCTGTTGTCTTGGTGCATTTTGGATTTGGAATGTATATAAGTTGTCATAATCAAATGGAGTTATTTGTATTAAAATCAACCAAGGTACATTGAAAACCTCCAGAGGTTGTGAAGAAGGGGAATCTCATGCTCATGTGCCTGAATAGCAATAGCTATCTATGGACTAAGACTCTGGCAGAGTCAGAGCCAGGCAGAAACTACCCCAGCCTCACATGGGAAACTTCTGCCAGTACTGCCTGTCCACATTTGAGTTATCGACATCCTGGTTTCTTATCCTGATAGCCAAGGATTAGTGTTTCAAAACAACTTATGCAGGCTTTTCACTTTACCTTTGAAAGTCTTCTTTTGTCTCATGTCCTGAGAATGCCTCAAATAAATGACTCACATGGTCTCCTTGTGGTGTTCAATCCCAAACACGGGAGTCTTTAGATACTCTCTGTGATTAAGGTTGACAAATGTGTGAAGTGTTGTTTCTGTAGCTGCTTTATCAAATTACTAGAGACTTGGTCCCTTGAAACAACACTGACTTCTTTTCTCACAGTCCTGGAGGACACAAGTCCCACACAAAGTTATGGGCAGAGTTGGGCTCCCTTTGCAACACCAGGGAGGGGCTTTGCTGGTTTCTCAAGCTCCTATGACCCTAGGTGCTCCCAGACGAGGGCTACCTCACCTCAGCCTCTCTTCAGCCTCCACTGGATCCTCTTGGGAGTGTCTTTTGACTTTTACAAGGACTGCATGTGGGCCAGCCTAATATCCCAGGCAAATCTCAAGATTCCTGGGCAACTTTTCTTCTGTCTTATGAGGTGACATTTGACATGTGAACATTTTTCCTGGCATCTCAGGCAATTCATGCTGTTGTGAGATGCTATGGACTTCAACAGCATATGCTCCTTTCTCAGGCTTGGCATCCAATCAGGCCTGGTCAGATCCACTACTGGGGACCGGTCTTCCTGCTTCCTTTCTTGACAGAGAATAAGGAAACAGCTTGCTGATGCCTCTTGAAAGGGATTGATCTGTGTAAGGTTCCCTCACTGGATTAGCTAATGGGTATGGTAAGATACCTTGATATAGGCCTCCAGGCCCATACCAATTGTGTTTACATGAAGCAGCCATGGGAAGGGCCTTGCATATCTCTGTACATTTTAGTGTGTGTGTGTGTGTGTGTGTGTGTGTGTGTAATATATTGACAACTCCCAAACACTAATGTTGATTTTAACTAGTAGAGATACAGCTAGGGAGAAGAGTTCTTCATTTAACATTTAAGAATGAACAGTTGCAACAGGGAAGGAAGCTGGCCCTGGGTCAGAGCCTCTTTAAGAGTAGGAGCAATGGGAACAGTGTGGGAAGCCCCTATCCCCCATTCCTGCTTCACTCCCTGAGGTAGCAAAACCTTTTTGCCTTCAAGGATGACAGCCATTCTGCATTCAGCCACAGCTTACACTTCCCTCACACAGCCCCTCCCTGCTCAAGTCTCCTCCTGAAGTACTACATGTGGCTCTTATTGGCTGCTCAGTACCCTTTGCCCACAGCTGCTGAGTTTTAACACTAGTCTGGGGAGACACAGTCAGAGCCAGAGCCTTTAGCAGCTGTGTGCCTTGTGCCAATGGGAAGTCCACCTATGAGCATGGGAAGGTACCTTTCAGCATTGTCAGCAGGCTGGTACGGCTCCTGCTTGGCTTCAGGAGGAAGTACTGTTGTGTGCTTCCCTGTGGTAACACACAAACCCAGATTTTGTAACAAGAAAGAAAGACCTAACTCAGCTAACTTGGAGCATACTAGAGTACTCTCCTATAAGCAGGATGGTGGGAGCCAACAGAGCCACCCATTGCTCTATGAGGCCCACGAGGACACAGGGCCAGGGGGACCTGGATGAGCCCTCCTCCTATCTAAAATCCCCAGTCAATACCACAGCCTCCTCCTGTTAGCATTTAGGCATCTGTAGTGGTCTACCTTTAGGGTCCTGACAGGATACGTCCTCAGCTACAGCCACTAAGAGCATACCCTGCGCACATTCACTACTTTCCCTTATAAAAGGCAGGCCTTGCCCACCTCCTGTCTCTTTCTCTTCCTTAGCTCTGGTCCCCAGGGACAGGTCTCTGCCCCCTTCTCTGCCCCTGTTCTCCCATCCCCCAATAAACCTTCCATGTGGGCCTATTGTATGGTGTGACTCCTTCCTGAAGTTTTTAAATTACAACACCTCCTTCTACTCCTTATGGCCAAAGACAGTCATGGAGAAAGGCAAAAACCTTCAGGGGCCAGCTTGAACCCACATTTTCTTCTGGCATACATGGGTCACCCACACGTTGCCCTGCTTCCTTACTGGTCTTTTTGAAGATGGCTGGCCCTATATTTTGGAGGCCCACAGGTTCAGGGATTCAGGCTGAGGAGTGAGAGCCTCCATGGAAGATCCTAGAAAACAGCAAGGGGTATCAGGTAGAAAGAGTCAGGGAGGTCTCCTCTATCCCCTACTAATTCAGCTGGCCTCACAAGAGGCAGTCCTCACAAGCCCTATCCATAGCTAGAGTGGCTCTCCTTACTCCATCTCAGACATCTAACAAATGCCAAGATTGGAGAGAGAGTATGTGAGATCGAGAGAATGTTCTGGGTGGAAGAGCTGCCTGCAAATCTCTAGGTGGTAAGGAAGATGAACCTCAGGAGGGAGTGGGGGGAAGGTGAACAGAAGTGGGAGTGGACGCGAATACCCGGGGCACTAGCAGCTGCTACTACAGACCCCAGCTAAGGAAGGTTCCTGCTAAGGAAACTTCGGGTCCAGATGGGAAATCTTTATGAGCTAAGAGGCAGAGGAGATAGCTCCTGATGTGGCCCGGCCTGGTTCACCATCTCTGTCTCCATGTCACATCACTGTTCCCTGCTCTGTGTTTTCACCAGTATCAAATCCATTTCCAGTGCTGTTGGTTCACTTGAAAACACCTCAGATGGAACTTAAGGACATTATCCAATTAGACGTTCACCTGAAAGAAGAAGATTTAGGCACATTAGACAGTTTAAATACATTGGGTTTGGCTCACAATCTAATGTTACCATTGTGGATGGTATTTAATGAACCCCCTTAAAGAGTACTCAGTAGTAGTAACATTAGCATAACCTCCTACTGAGGCTTGTAGGAATCTCTGCAGGATGCATACCTAACCCTTGTCCTTTCCTCAATGAAGATGCAAAACTTTAGTAAGCAGAAATGTTATTTCCAAAGTTTCTGCTGGCACTTCCATTACTGGAAGAGCTGGTCCCAGATCTCTGTCCCAGACAGACTATTCCTCTCCCAAGGGCCCTCTTGGACTCTGACCTCAGTCATGCAAAAAAGGATGAAAGAGGGTGTTTGGAGGTTGTGCTGTGCCCTGAGGTGCCATTCTCAAGGTGGCAACCATAAAAGCTTTTATTTTGCTTCTGAAAAATTTAGGTATCTATCTGTTCACTGCCTGGAAGTCAACTAGATGGACAAAGTTCTACTCAGTAGACCCCAGGTTTGATGAAGGGACTTTCAATGTGTCCTAGGCAGGGAAACACTGTGAAACTTTTGCACCCTGCCTGTCTCTCCAACCACAGGGTGAGGACTAATGGAAGCCTCTCTGTGAAGGGAAATGGTGGGAGGCGAGAGCAGCATCCCAGGGTCTGGGTAAGAGGGAACCTCAGGAGAGAGTGGGGGGGGGGGGGGGGGGGGGGGGGAGGTGAACGGAAGTGGGAGTGGACGCGAATACCAGCGGCACTAGCAGCTGCTACTACAGACCACACTGTGCCCAATGGGGCTGTCCTGGGGAGGGTCCAGAGCAGGGTGAGGTTGCATACAGCCGGTGAGGGTGGCATGGGTGAAACTGCCTCAGAGAAAGTTTTGGATTCAGCCCATGCTCCGCCCTCCCCCTCCGGGGTCCGCCCCTTGCAGAGTTGGTCCTGGCTATCCACTTCGCCACACTGCGCAGGCGCCGCGCGAGGGCGTCCAGTTTGAAAACATGGCGCCAGGACAGCGGTTGGTTCTGTGCGAGGAGACTGTGCGGGAGCGCAGCGGCCTGGGTCCCCACCGGGACCTGGGTACGTGTGGGACCGACACCTGGGGTTCAGGGTTTCCCGCGGGAGGCCTGCCTGGTCTGGCAGTTGTGCCTCAGTGCGGACGCCGCTTCGCCGAAGACGGTCTTGGCCGGTTGAGGGGGTGGGGTGGGGAGGGCGTGGCTGCGGTCCCTGGGAGCCTGTGGGCCCGGCCGGGTTTGGACGTGATGCGGTGCTCAGGCTGAGCCAGCCCGTTTTTCTCAGCTTCCTTCTCTGCCTTCTTGGGTTCCTACGTGGTATTTCGTTGAGGGTTTTTGTATTTGTGTTTCTGAGGGATGCAGGTCTGTTTTTATATGGTTTGGACATCAGGGCCTCACGTTTTGTGCAAGAGTTAGTGTAGAATTTGTGCTGATTTTTTTACTTTTTTTCATGGACTTTTCCAATGAAACCATGCAGGCCTAGATTTTTCCATTGTTGAATATTTTAAGTTACAAATTCTGTTTTTTAAATTATAGTGGTTTCACCTGAGTGAATTTTTGTTACCTTTTTTTCTTTTAACTGAATACATGTTTTTTCTTAGTTGTCAAGCATGTGTATATAGAGATGTCTGTAGCATTCTCTTACTAGTTTATTAATGCTTGTGGGGGGTCTGTAAGGATATCCCCATTTTCATGAATGATGCTGGTAATCTGGCTTTGTTTTTCAGTCATGTTGGAGATTTATGATTGTTATTGATTATTTCAATACACCACTTTGGGGTTGGTTGATTTGTCTCTTTGTTTTTAAATTTTTCCTTTTTTATTTAGTTTTTGGTTTTTGAAGACAGGGTTTCTCTGTGTAGCTTTGTGCCTTTCCTGGAACTCACTCTGTAGACCAGGCTGGCCTTGAACTCACAGAGATCCGCCTGCCTCTGCCTCCCTGGGATTAAAGGTGTGTGCCACCACCGCCTGGCTTTCTACTTATTTTCTTTGTGCTTGCTTTGCATTTATTTTACTCTTTGGACTCTAGAAGCAAAACGTTATTAAATGAATTAAAGCTTGTTTTTATAATTTAAATATTTTAATCTATAAATCTCTCTTTAAGCACCACTTAACTGCATACACGTTTGTTAGTGTTGTATTTCCCTCCTGTTTGGAAATTACTGGAGATACAACCTAGAGCCTGCATATGCTAAGCAAATGCTCTATCATGGAACTTCACCCCAACCTTTTATAGTTTTTCAAGTGTGATATTAAGCGAGTAAGACCTTGATCTCCATATTTAGCCCAAGCTGGCCTTGAATTTTTAGTCAGATTCCCAAGTAGCCGGGATTACAAGCAGTTGCCACCATGACTGGCTCTGATTTTCATTGATTCCAATTTGCTTTTAAAATATTCCTTTAGGTATCTTCTCAGACCTATGAATTACTTAAGAACTACTCACTTTTTTATACTTACTTTAGAAATTTGTTTTTAAAAAATCTCATGTTTGGAGGTTTTCTTGTTATTTTACTTGTTGATTCTAGTGTAATTCTATTATGGTCAGAGAACAGACTGTGTATGATTTTAGTTTTCTTAAATCTGCAGAGACTGTTTAATGACCCTGAATCTGCTTTCTATTAGAGAGTGTTCCAAGTACACTTGAAAAGTGTGCTGTTGAATGGAATGAGTATCAGGTTGATCTTCTTGGCTGGTAGTGTTCAGTTTAGTCAGAGGATTTTCTGTCTAGTGATTTTGTTATTTTCTAAGAGGGTATATTAGTTGTTTTTTTAATTTCCTGTATGAAATACCTGATAAGAAGCAACTTAAAAGAGAAAAGGTTTATTTTGACTCACAGTTGGAGGAGATAAAAGTCAAGTGAGGAAGGCCTAGTGGCTAGAGTGTAAGCCTGCTGTTCACATTTGCATTTGCAGTTAGGAAGCAGACAGTGAAGAATGCTAGTGCTCAGCCTACTTTCCAAATTTATTTATTATTTACTTATTCACTCATTTGTTGATTCTTTTGGAGACAAAGTCTCTCTATATAACCCTGGCTGTCCTTGAACCTGCTAAGAAGTAGTGGTGCATACCTGTAATCCTAGCACATAGGAGTCTAAAGCAAGAAGATCTGGCATTCAAGGCCATCCTTGGCTGCCTAGATTTGTCTCAAAAACAAACAAAAAAATCAAGAACATTAACGAAGACTCTATTCAAGGCTGTTGAGATGGGCTCAGGCCCTGTTGCAGTACGGTTTTGCAGTGTGAGGAAAGAAGATTCTGTTCCCAGTATGATATCGGGAAGTAGATGTTTTAGCTGACAAATGACAGGCAGAGATCCATAGATGGACCATTACTGAGAGGAAAAGAGGGAGCAGAATCTTGCACTGGGGGATGAGGGATCAAGGTGAGCAGACCTGAGGGCAGGGAATTCTTGCTAACCTTTGATTTATAGGAAGTGCACTGGTGGGCCTAGGATAGCCTAATCACTTTGGTCAAGCAGAGTGTCTTGACAGTATCTGCTATATTTCTAAAATAATCTCACCAAATTGAATTTTCTATTATACTATTTTCAATTTTAAAAAGGATTAAAATCTTACAATTTTCTATTCTTAGCTGAGCTTCGATCTCTGTCTATTCCTGGAACATACCAAGAGAAGATAACTCACCTGGGGAACTCTCTGATGCGTTTGACAGCTCTAAAATCCTTAGATCTCTCACGTAACTCCTTGGTTAGTCTTGAGGTGCGTTTTAGGCTTGTTAAAATTTATCACTATCAGTATCAGAGGAACATACTTTAATGGTTAAAAAAATGCAACATGTTTTGAAGCTGTACAAAGAATGCTTATAAACTGTACATTTAGAATGATTGTGTTATGTTGTCACTACTGTTCATCTAAAGCTAAGTGCCTTACCCACCCCATTCTATCTTTAACCTACTTTGAATACCAAAGTAATGGATTTCTAAAGAAGATGGATTATCGATGACTTTGGGGGTCCAGCCCCTCGATAGTCCCCTCCCAGGGTCCGGGAAGAATATACAACCAGATGATAATTAATCTTTAATGAAAAGAAATGAATCTATGTACACGAAACTCCTTAGTCCATACACTTTATTCTTCTGAGTCAGTTCTCTCTATATACAGCTTCTATTCTGCTCTCATGTCTAGCTCCTTTCTTGCTTGATTTCTCCCTACATTAACCTGCTGTCCCCTCTAAGTTCTATCTTAATTCTCTCATCTTAGTTCTGCCCCATCTAGGTTCTCATCCATCTAGTTCTTTCCCATCTTAGCTCCTCATCTCCTTCTTTCTATCTTGTTCTTCCTCATCTTGTTCTTCCCCATCTGACTCTTCCTCATCTTCCATCTTGTTCCTCTATTACTCTCTTCTCGCCCTTCAGTCTAGTTCTTCCCCAACTCAGTTTGTTCCTCTCAAGTTCTTACCCATCTAGTTCTCCCATTCTCTTTTCTCTTCTCTGTCTCCTTATTCTCTCAGTTCTCTCTAAGTCTCTCTGGAATCCAGTTATAAACCCAAGCAATAACAATCCTCTGGCCTAGCAAAGTCTCCAGGCTTGAATTCTATGGGGTCATAAAGATAGGTAAGAATTTTCCTCAGGTAGTGACTGTCAGATCTTCTTTTACAACCCAAAATGGAGTGAGTGGTAAAAGAGAAAGTCAACTGAGTGCTAATGACCGGTTAGTATATCAAAAGGGGATCTATGTGCTCAGTCTACATTCTTAGAAGTGGTTAGGTAAGAAGTTAGGGGTCTATTAGTAAAGTTGAATAAGAAAGGAGGGTCTCACCCTAAATTGCACAAGAAATAAAGCTATCCTCCTGACCTAGGAGACAAGTATTATTTTGTATGGCCTTGGTGGATGCTTGATAGGCACGCAAGAAAATCATTTTAGGAACCAGCTAATACACACACACACACACACACATACACACACACACACACATATATATAATATATATATGTATATATATAATATATATACACACAAAAGCTAAAATATCACCAGACTTCTTAAGCCATGGCTTGACTTTTGGAGAAGTCCTTGACTTTTCCAAGTAGTAGCTTTTGTGATAGTAGCTGGATTCCATTATGTTTTCCTGCAGCTTGCAGCAATGGATTATCTTTAAATGGAGTGAAACAAGATCCCAAAGACTAAAGTGTGCATGCCCATCCCTCTTCATCCTTTCATCTGCTGTGTTTCCTTTTTCTGTACTTTATATCTATTCGTGGCGTGGCATTAGCCTTCAACCCTCAATGGCAATGTGTGAATTTGAGGCTCATTGCAGGTGCCCAGTCATGATGAGTAAGGAGTCCCCCAAAGTGACACGTGTGGGAAGTTTGTATAAACACTACTTATGGCTCAATTCAGAGAGGAGGGCCTTGCCTTGAAAGAAACATGCGGTGTCATTACCTGGGAAGATGTTACTTGGTAGAGATTGTTTTTTGGTGTTGGTTTCAGAGTCTGACTCAGTTAGGTACAAGCTCCAGCTTTAGCTAAACCAAGGGTTGGCTCCTCTCTCAAACCCTAAGCATTAGCCTCCTGATCTGGGTGTGTGCAGAGTAAATGAAATTGTGTAAATTATATAGCTTGATTCATAACTGGGCACTCAGGAGAGAGTATCTGTGCTTACTACTGTTGGGACTCAACAGACCTGTATTCAGACACCCCATATGGTTGCTGTCCTATATGAAACATAGAACTTCACAAAAGAGAACATGTTGCATTGTTAGTTTTTTCTGAGAATAGTATGTGTTCATTATAAGTGTGTTTAAATTGGTTAGCTCCTACCAATGTTTTATTTCTCATGATGCACTAATTGAGATATTTTCTTATTAATAGGGCATTCAGCATCTGGTCTTCTTGGAGAATCTCAATCTCTACTACAACTGTATTTCTTCATTAGCAGAAGTATTTAGGCTCCACTCCCTGACAGAGCTCCAGGATGTGGACTTCCGGCTTAACCCCGTTGTGAAGAATGAGTCTGACTATCGCCTATTTGTTGTGCACATGCTCCCCAAGCTCCGACAGCTAGGTAGGTGGAGGAGCCATTGTACTCACATCCTCATGCAGTGGAGTCATTTTTATGCTCCTGGATAGGTTTTGCTGTTGTTCCCTGATGGAAACTGAAGCTGTGTTCTTGCACTGATGGCCTAAATCCCTGTTAGCTCTGGGGTATTCTTCATCCTCACTGGGTCAGTCTTTCTAGCCAGACAGCCCAGCCTAATCACCAAGTTCCAGGCCTAGTGAGAGGCCTTACTTCAAAAAACAAGATGGATAGCTCCTGAGAAAAGACACCCAAGGGCAGTTTACATTTGACCCCCACATGCACACATACATGTACATGCACTAGCAAGCACATGTAATACACACACACACACACACACACACACATGCCCCACCGCCACCACCACCAATAGCAGCAGCAAAATGCCAAATTTACAGCCCGTTCCTGAGTTCATATCTTTAAGTTCCCAGGATAGTTTCTTGTAAGACAAGGAGCTTGTAACCATTTCCTGGCATTTCTGTTGTTATCAGGATCAGACCTCCTGTCATAGTGGCCATTGGAAACCTTGCCCTTCTAAACCCAGAGGGTCATCAAAGTAGTAGAACCACTGAAGGTCTACTAGAAATAATAGAAAAATAGACTACTTTGCCTTTATAGCAAATGCCTGCAAGCAAAGATGCCATTCAAAGTCTTTTGGAAAAAGTAAAGTTTAGATGCCAGTCTTTGGGTCAGTGGGTAAGAGTGAGTAAAGATACTTGCTACCAAGTCTGATGACCTGAATTAATTCCCAGTAACCACATGGTGGGAAGAGAGAACTGACTGCTGCAAGTTATTTTCTGACCTCCACATATGCACTGTGATACATGTGCACCCACACTCATACATATAAATATATTCATAAATTAAATATAATTTTAAAAAATAGATGCTATTTTTTAGTTAACAGTAGCAAAAAGAGACTGGTGTGGCTTGAGTGTCTACAAGCTTCTCTAGTTAATTCTGCCTGACCCTTGTATGTAGACAGGCATGGGTTGGCCAGATCTGAGTCAGCCTCGGTTTTATACCCAGTACATAAATACAGGAGAGACATTGTCAGTCAGCCTTCCCATAGATAGTCTGCATGCCAGCCTTGCACAGCCACTCTTCAGCCCTGGGAGATGGGCACTATGTAAGCCCTGTCCTGTGGGTTTATCAGTAGGTCAAGAGCGTTTATGAGGAAACATCAAATTGAACTCATCCATACAGTCTGGGCTGTCATGTCTTAGTGCCAAGGACTAGAATGTTTTGGTCATGAACTAGTCTTTCATGTGTAAATGGTGTTCTTATACCTTAAGCTCCCTTTCTCTGTATCTTCAAGATGTTTCTAGAGATAACAGAAGAATTTAGCAGCATGAAAGCACATGTTCCTTTTATTTCATCCTTCTGTAACAGTATAAATTATTGGGGACGGATTAGTCCTTGCAAAGCAGTCCTTTCTTTGGTCAGCTATAATTTAGCTATTACCAGAAGTCACCTGTTTAGTAACTCAGTTGGAAGTGTATTCTTCAATCCTCTGAAGGTGATTTGAGGACCTGACATAATAGCCCTGAGTAAATGAGCTAGCCTTTCCTAGCCCAGCCGGTTTCATTTCCATAAGAGCTCAGTTCCTAGGGCAGAATGGGCCGGTAGCAGTGGTGGGCAAACCTGTCTCATTTGTGGCTGGTAGTCCATTGCCCCTGCAGTGGTGACCATGTGTCTCTAGCCTCAAAGTACAGTTGTTGGTTAAAAGCTGGAGAGTGCTTAGTGCCTGCACCTTCTGTGTATTGACCCAGAGAGCCCAGCTCTAGCACATTGTGAGCGCTGACACTATTGTTCCAGTCCTCATGAGAAACTCCATGTTCTACATACAGTTCAGTTTTGAAGAAAGCACAGGTGTGTACTATAGACCTTCTGAGGGCATGGACGCTGTTAGACCACAAGTGCTGAGCAGATGGGCTATGTGCCCAGAGCACACTGTTTAGTTAAAACATACTTGAAATTTCTATGTTTAATCTGAAGACAGTTGGGAGGGATAAGTGCTTATGTGCTATTCTTTATTTGACTGTTTAAGTAACTTATAAACAGTTGAGTTTGGCTTTGTTTTTAGAAGCATTACAACTATGAGTAATCTTGAGATTCTTCAGTTTTAACTCACTGCCTTCCCCTTGCCAAGAAAGTTTAGATCAGAATCATAAAGAGTTTATATGGAGAAAGAATGTAAGAGGTATTTTCATAAAGCAAAGGGATGTTACTGAAGTCATAGTCATTGGGAAAATCCTGTCTAAAGGCTCTGGATCAGCAGATGCTAGAAGAGGAGCTTCTTGATCCTATACAGGGCCTGCAGAGGGGCTTGGTCCTGGTTGTAGGTGGGAATTTGGAAGGCTCTGGATAGGTTGTAGAAGAAGTAGCAAAAGAGTAGCCTGGGGGTTATAGGATACATTAATCCTATACATTTCCTTGTAGCTAGAGTTTTCCTGCCTGGCCCACAGTCAGGACAAATCTCTCTCACCTGCCAGTCCCACAGCCGCTCAGACCTGACCAAGTAAACACAGAGACTTACATTGGTTACAAACTGTATGGCCATGGCAGGCTTCTTGCTAACTGTTCTTATAGCTTAAATTAATCCATTTCTATAAATCTATACCTTGCCATGTGGCTTGTGGCTTACCGGCATCTTCACATGCTGTTTCTCATCACGGTGGCTGGCAGTGTCTCTCTGACTCAGCCTTCCACTTCCCAGCTTTATTCTCCTCCTTGTCCCGCCTATACTTCCTGCCTAGCCACTGGCCAATCAGTGATTTATTTATTGACCAATCAGCAACACACTTGACATACAGACCATCCCACAGCATTTCCTGCTGCAGGAAAGGATATGGAAGGGGGTGAACTTTATTGGCTTTAGAAGTTTTGCATTTGAGTTCTGGTGGAATAGTCCAGGATTTGTACTGCCTCTGAGGGGAAGGTAGCTCAGCTTAGACACATCCTGCTAGTCTAGAGAAAAGACATGTAATTATACAACATTGTGGGGTTTTCCCTCACTTTTTACTATTTTCTGTAATTTTGTGCCATAGGGTAAATACCGTTTAGGAGATAGCATGAGAACTTAACCACATGTCTAACATGAATGATGTGATAAAATGGGAAAGTTCCAAGAGTGAGGGCCTCCTCATTCTCAAGTATTTATGTAAGAGGTTCCAGGAACTCTTGGTCAAGGCCTTCTGAGGCCTCAGATCTCTATTTGGGACATTTGGAATTTCTCCTCTGTCTTTGCGTTCCAGCATTAAGATTCTGAGGACTGGGCTGGAGAGATGGCTCAGCCATTAAAGGCTAGGCTCACAACCAAAATATAAGATTCTGAGGACTTAATTCACCCTTAAGAGCAAACTCACATAGTCTCAGTCTTCTTCAGTATGTTGCAGACTCATCTATGCAGACCCTTTAGTTTGCTTATGTGACAAGACTCATCCAGTGTCTGGCATGCACATGTTTAATAAACATTTAAGAAGCATGTCTCAAATGTGTGTGCACCTCACATGTGTCCTACTTTTGCAAGGGCATCTGCCTGTTACAGTAGTAGCTCATGGACAGTAAGCTTTGAGGCATAGATAGCCTCTTGGCATTGCACTTGGTATTGTTGGGAAGCTAAGTGTAGCCACCAGAGCTCGTCATTCCAGGAAGATGCATGCCATTTGCTGGTGAGAGAGTGGTCTGAGTCAGCCCTGTATTGTGAACTCTAGAGTTGGGGAACTAGGTGTGTTCACACTCATGAAGAACATGGCCATCACCTGGCCCTGTTGTTCTCTACAGTTCTTGGGAATTTTCTCTTTAGATGACCGTCCTGTGAGAGAGAGTGAGCGGAAGGCTTCTCAACTTCATTTTGCTTCAGAGGATTCACTGGACTCAAAGCAGAGCTGCTCAGCGTTAACAGTTGGAAGGTATGGACTGATGTGGTTCTACTCAGATGGATTTCAAACTTGCCTGTTGACAGGATATTCAGACATCAGGCATGAGTGTCTATGTGCCAACTGTCCCTGAGCGACAAGTATGCGTAGCAGAGGGAAGAAGTTCGCAGTACTGATTGGGGCTCTGGTGGTTGGTGTAGGTGCAGTCTGTCTCTTGATTTCTTCAGATGTTCCCTCAATACTGCCAGTCCATTTTGAGCAAGATAGCTGCTGTATAGACAGCCATACCACAGAACATTGCATTTTGGATCTCTTGGTGTCTCTTGGGTTGTTTTTCCCTTTATTTTGCTGTTCACATTACGGCACTAAGGGAGAACATTAGCATATCAGCCTCATGTCTTGACCTCAATCTGTTGTTTATGGAGAAAATATTTTCTTTTTGTTTTTAAAATTTGCTTTCCTTTCATATATGTATATTGCCATAGTTAGAGTTTCTGTTGCTGTGATGAAGCACTATGTCCAAGGCAACTTGGGGAGAAAAAGGTTTATTTCAGTTTATACTTGCAGGTGACAGTCGATTGACAAAGGAAGTCAAGGCAAAAACTTAAACAGGGCAGGAACCTGGAGGCAGGAGCTGATGCAAAGGCCATGAGGATTGCTGCTCATTGGTTCCCTTCGCAGCCTGTTTCCTTATAGAACCAGGACCACCAGCTCAGGGATGGCACCACCCACAGTGGGCTGGGCCCTCCCCTATCAATCACTAATAAAGAAAATGCCCTCCAGGCTAGCCTACACCCCTGATCTTGTGGAGGCATATTCTTAATTGAAGTTCCCTCCTCTCAGATGACTTAAGCTTGTGTCAAGTGGACATAAAGCTATCCAACACACATATATTTCAGAAAACTTCTACAGTAGCAGATTTTCATTCAGCTCCTCAAATGGCTTTTAGTGTCAATTGTCCCTCCTTTACCCTTCCCTTCTATCACCAGGCCTGTTTAATCCTCCCACTCCAGTCTTCTCCCTGTCTTCCCAAAACAATATGTTCTATTTCATCTTTGGGAGATCCTCTCTTCCCTTTTCATCCCTTAATGGTTTCCTAACCTCTATGATCATGTGGGTTATAGGATACATATCAAGGGCTTACAAGCTAACATCCACATTTAAGAGAAAGCATACAGTATTTGCCTTTTGGGGTGTGAATTACTTCACTTAGGATGATTTTTTTTTTTTTTTGCACTATCCATTTATCTGTAAATTTCATTTTCTTAACAGCTTAATAATATTCCGTTGTGTTGATATACCACATTTTCCTTATTCATTTTTCAGTTGATGGACATTTAGGCTGTTTTCAATTTCTGCCTATTATAGATAAGCAGCAATGAACATGATAAGCAAATATCTCTGTAGTAGGATGTAGAGTCTTTTGTGTGTATGCCCAAGAGTGATATAATGGGTAGATCTATTCCCAGCTTCCCAAAGAACCACCGCACTGATTTCCATAGTGGCTGTATAAGTTTGCAATCCCACCATTGGACATGTTAGGACACATCTTCTGTATGTAACACCCCTTCTGGCACTGCTTATGTTACAGGTGAGAACTTGAGTCACTGGGTACCTCCAGTGTACAAATCCTCACATTTTGGTTGTGAGCCTAGCCTTTAATGGATGAGCCATCTCTCTCCAGCCCTGTACAGATTCTTATACCCTAGTGCAAGGAATTATACCAGAACACGTGGTTAGAAATAGGGAGTTTATTATGAAAGGGAAGTAGGCTCATGAGCAAAGGAAAGCATGCACTCCAGAAGAAGAGTCCCATGACCCCTTATCTGACATTTACATAGTACCCACCTCTACCAGGTTTTACATCGCAGATCTTTCTTGCATATGATGTATTCATTACATGAAGCCCAGGCAAGAAAGGACTTCATCTTTTATATGTTAATCTTGATGTTTCAATTGTAGCCCCTACTCTCTTATCATGCTCCTTGCTGAACTCTGTGTGTGGGATATCCAACTTCCTTTTCACTGGTTTAAGGCTGTTTCCCTTTCGTTTTTTTTCTTTTTGAAGATATTCTCAGTTTATCAGTGGCAGTAGAAATCCATAAAAAAGAAAAATGAAACTACACAAATTACCAAATGAATGATATTCCATCGTGTCAATGTGCCACATTTTCATTATTCTGACACTGCTTATGGTACTTGCCAATATTAATTGCCTATAACATCTGGTAGATATGGCTAAGAAGTCAACAATATTTGCTCTGCAAATAATTAAAAAACTGTAACTGATGAATCAATCTCCATTAAAAGTACAATGTAAGTTAAATTAGTAAGGTTCAAGGAACCTCCTACCACATGTAACAAAATAGTCTTAAAAACAAATATCATTTATAAATTGTTCAGTTGGTTGCTTCTTGGATAAAGGTGGTTACTGCAAAAACTGACAGCTTGAGTTCCATCTCTGGAATGCACAAGGTAAAAGAGAGAAACAGATTCCTGAAAGTCATTTTGTCACTTCCATATGTATGCTGTGGCAAATAAGTGCTCACACATACACACAAAATAAAATTGCTTAATTTCCTTTGCAGCATTTTGTATATAAAATTTTTAAGGTAGCACATATTTTCTGGGACATATATAAATGTTATTTTATATATGTCTTTCCTATCAAATGCCTGATGTTTCTTCATTGTCAAAGTCTTAATTTGTACTCCTGGCTTGATTCTTCCTATCCCCTTTGATGGTCTGTATCTATGGGTAAATTTACTTTTAGCCTGTTTGTCTCTTTATATTTGAAGTGGGTTTCTTTGAGACAATGTGTGAGCACAATTTGTCAGAAACATAGAACATGTTTATGTCTTTCCATAATGTTAGAATTTATTGAATAACAATAAATTTATAAGATATAACAGCAATTTGTGAAGTAGTCCCATTTTCTCAAGTAGGCTAGCCAAGGAAAACACAAATTCTTTTATTCACCCTTAATTACTAATATTAGTTGTCAAGTCACATATCACACAGTAAATATCTCTCTTTCTGTGTGTGTGTGTGCATGTATATATATATATATATATATATATATATATATATATATAAATGTAGGTTAAAGAATGGCTGCAAAGAGTTAAAGATGCTACTACAGCAGAGATTAGTTTTGAAGAGGCCGGAGAGGCAGAAGGTAGGAAGCCAGTAGAGATACAGAAAGAGTCTCTGGGAATAAGATAATGCACCCTGCTTAGGGTGTGCTGGAGGTGCTATGTAGAGTCAGGCTGCAAGGTCAGAGTTTTATGAAGTTCTAGAAATGAGCTGGGAGTGGTAGCACACGCCTTTAATCCCAGCACTTCAGAGGCAGAGGCAGGTGAGCTCTCTAAATTCAAGGCTGCCCTAGTCTACATAGTGAGTTTGAGGGTAGCTAGGGCTATGTAGAAAGACCGTGTCCCTCTACAACAACAAAAGACTTTATAAAAATGAGACGTGGGATTGTAGGAGTTGTAGAAGCAAAGAGCAGGACCATAGACTATGTAACATTACAATTTGTGTAGGCCACATTTATAATGGGATTGAGCTAAGGTAAAGTTCCTAGGAAAATTGGGAGTTCTCTGCCTGTCAGTCACTTAACTCACCATCCAGAGGAGTCATGGCAGGTCAGTGGGACCATTGCTGTCTGTTAGGTGTCCTCCTCTGTGTGTGGTTCAGCTGGAATGTTTTGCACCCTTTCTTCAGTCTGGTAAGTTCTTGGGCCTAGCTTTCCTGATAGTATTATCATATGCCAATGTGTTCCTACTGTCCCGATTTGCTTTGATAATTTATGGGTGGTAATAAATTTATAGGTGGTACCCTTTCTACTTTTAGGGATGAATTATTTATAGATCTGTGTCTTGTGGGTGGTACCAGACAGATGGTATTGTTTATGTGTGCATCAAGGTGTAGAATCCTCCTTCATCTTCAAAATGGAGAAAATTGCTACTTATAAAACCGAGTCTCAGGGCAAGGCACAGCCTGAGGGGGAATGACAAGAAATCTCTATAACAACATATAAGTGAATCTTTTTTGTTGGTCTTTGTGTGTGTGTGTGTGTGTATAAATCTATTATTTTAAATCTGTTTCTCTTAATTGGTATGTTTAGACCATTGGTATTTAAAGTGTTTTATTAACATCTTTGGACTAATTGCTGCTGTAAGTAAACTGCAAAAACTCTGGGTTTGGTGTCCTGGGTTTCAGCACCAAATGTAAGTAAACTGCAAAAACTCAGGGTTTGGTGTCCCCAGTTTTGGCACCAAAATGTTAGTAAAGTGATGGCTGAAACTGCAAGGACACAGTTCAGCCCTAGAGGACGAGGACACCTCGAGCTACTTAGAACAAGAGCTCTGCCCTGAAGGTGTCCCAGACACCTGGAACTGTTTAGCACAGCTCTGATGGCTGGGACTGCAAAGAAACAGCCCAACCTTGGAAAGGAAGTTTTCTGACTTCTTGGGAGAGTCAGACCTGGAACTGCTTCAGCAAGGAAGGGTATCCTGACTGTTCGGGAAAGTCAGGATATACCTGGTATGATGGTATGATGAGGGATGGTTTCCCCACAGGACACAGCAATCCTGCTCCTCTCCTGGAGAGCCACAATCTTTGGCTCAGTGTTACCAGCTCTTTCTCGCTCAGTCCACTATGGGATGTCCCAGCAACGTTCTTCTGTTCAGCTCCCCCTTGCTCAGTCCACTATGGGACGTCCCAGCAAGGTTCTTCTGTTGAGCTGTCAGTGAAGGTCTTCACCCAATACTCTTTTGAGAAAGAGGTTTATTTGGGAAGGAGGAGTCCAGGAGAGTAGTTGCCTCTACCAGGGTGGAGAGAACAGCTCACAACTGACCGGGCAGGGAAGTTTATATAGGATGTTTAGGGGGCGGAGTCAACTGTGATTGGTTAGTTTATTTTCTGCCCAGGGATTGGCCAGTTTTGTGAGCAAAGGGCAGAGATGGCCCTGTGTTTCTTTCACTGGCCTTTCTTGGCTTTTTGACACTACCTCTAAGGCCAGGGCACATTTCATTCACTGACTCTGATTCTAGGGGCCAAGGGTGTTATTTTGGTACAAGTTTCAGAGTCAGGACATATTTCCTGAGTTCTGGGTTTGGAGATAAAGTGTTCATTTCTTTGGCTCAGGTCCCAAACACAGGCTGTGTTTCTTTCCCTGGTCCTGGGCCCTAGGGCCAGGATTCTACTGTCCTTCTCTGTGATTGGTTGATTTCACAAGTCAGTTGGACAGGGGCAGAGATGGCTCTGATCTGAGCTAAACTGTGTTTCTCTCACTGGCTTTATCTGAGCCATCCTTCCCTAATTCTGGGCTCCAAGGTCACGGTGGGTTTCTCTAGCCAGCCCCTTTTCCCTACACATTTGACTGGAAAATCTTTTCCCAACCCTTTACTTTGAGTTATGTCTGTTTTTGAAGTTGAAGTATGTTTCTTGTATGCAGCAGAAGGATGGATTCTGTTTTTATATCCATTGTGTTAGCTTTTGTCTCTTTATGGACAAATTGAGTCCATTGATATTAAGAGATATTAATGACCAGTGATTGTTAATTCCTGTTATTTGTTCTTGCTGCTGGTGGTGGTAGTGTGCGTGTATGTGTGTTTCCCTTCTTTGGGTTTTGCTGGTATGTGATTATTTATTACATGTGTTTTCATAGGTGCAGCTAACTTCCTTCGGTTGGAGTTTTTTTCTAGTACCTTCTCTAGGGCTAGATTTGTGTATAGGTATTGTTTAAATCTGGTTTTGTCATGAAATATCTTGTTTTTTCCATCTGTGGTGATTGAAAGTTTTGCTGGGTATGGTAGTCTGGGCTGGCTGGTATCCATGGTCTCTTAGTGTCTGTATGATGTCTGTCCAGGCCCTTCTGGCTTTTAGAGCTTCCATTGAGAAGTCAGATGTAATATTGATAGGTCTGCCTTTATATGTTACCTGGCCTTTTACTTTTGTAGCTCTTAATATTCTTTCTTTATTCTGTGTATTTAGTGGTTTGATTATTATGTGGCAGGAGGACTGGTGTTTTTTGTTTGTTTGTTTTTGTTTTTGGTCCCACCTATTTGGTGTTCTGTAAGCTTCTTGTACCTTTATAGGCATGTCCTTCTTTAGGTTGGGAAAGTTTTCTTCTGTGATTTTGTTGTATATATTTTCTGTGTCTCTAAGCTAGGATTCTTCTTCTTCTATTCCTATTATTCTTAGGTTGGTCTTTTCATAGTGTCCCAGATTTCCTGGATGTTGTGTTAGGAATCTTTTAGATTTAACATTTTTTTTTGACCAATGAATCTATTTCCTCTAGCATATCTTCAATGCCTGAAAGTTTCTCTTCCATCTCTTATATTCTGTTGGTGATGCTTACATCTGTAGTTCCTGTTTGCTTACCAAGGTTTTCCATTTCCAGAATTCCCTCTGTGCTTTCTTTATTGCTTCTATTTCATTTTCAGGTCTTGAACCATTTCCTTCACTTGTTTGTTTTTTTTCTTGGCTTGCTTGGCATTCTTTAGGGGATTTATTGATTTCTTCCAACTTTTTTTTTTTTTTTTTTTTTTTTTTTTTTGGTTTTTCGAGACAGGGTTTCTCTGTGTAGCTTTGCGCCTTTCCTGGAACTCGCTTTGGAGACCAGGCTGGCCTCGAACTCACAGAGATCCGCCTGGCCCTGCCTCCCGAGTGCTGGGATTAAAGGCGTGCGCCACCACCGCCCGGCTGATTTCTTCCAACTTTTTAAGGGAGTTTTTAATTTCCTCTTTAAGGACCTCTATCATCTCCCCACCCCCCCCCACCCCCCCCCCGAGACAGGGTTTCTCTGTGTAGTTTTGGTGCCTGTCCTGAATCTTGCTCTATAGATCAGGCTGGCCTCAAACTCACAGAGATCTGCTTGGCTCTGCCTCCTGAGTACTGGGATTAAAGTCGTTAGCCACCGCCACCCAGGTATCATCTTCTTAAACTTATTTTTAAGGTCATTTTCTTGTGCTTTAGCTGTGTTAGAATGTTCAGGTCTTACTGTATGTTTTCACTCCTTGACCTATCCTTCTTCACTCTTCCCTGCCCCCTCCCTCCTAGCCCCTGGGAATCACTACTTTCTCATTTTTAAAAAAGATTTATTTATTTACTATGTATACAGTGTTCTGCCTGCATGCTACAAAAGGGCACCAGATTTCATTGTAAATGGTAGTGAACTACCATGTAGTTGCTGGGAATTGAACTCAGGACCTCTGGAAGATCTGCCAGTGCTCTTAACCTCAGAGCCATCTCTCCAGCCCCACTACTCTCTAATTTTGTAAGAGCAATTTAATAATAATTTACACAGCAAAAAGGTACAGCAGGGGAACTGCAAGGAGGCAGAAGGAAAGAGACAGTCATCTGGGCAGACATAAATAAACAACTCAGTGAATTAAGAAATCATGGTGTATGTTTCCATTAGTACACATAAAAAAAGAAATACTTGTATATAAACCTAACAAAAAATGTACTATGAAAAAGAACCACAAAACTGATGGATGGACTTTGTTGACTACAGTAATTAAAACCAGAAAGAGCAAAGCCACAGGTAAGAGGAAACTACTGAATAGTGAACGATCAGCTCCCCCAGTATTCCTTCAATGAACAGCTTGGAGAGCTACTCTCTAAACCCAGGCAACTCGTCCCTTGGCTGAACCATTTTCAAAGTGAACTACGTGTTTTTGGAGGTCTTTTCCAAGTTGCAGTCCACCTGTGAGCTAAAGAGATGAATCAGCAGCTAAGTGCTGCTCTTGCAAAAGAGCTGAGTTGGGTTCCCAGGACCCATGTTAAGCAGCTCCCAACCACCTCTAACTGCAGCTCCATGGAATCCAATTCAACACTTTCTTCTACACTCCATGGTACCTGCACACAGGCACGCATACCCAACACACATATTAAAGGAATAAATCTCTTTATTTTATTTATTAATTAAAAAAAAAAAAAGAACATTCAGGTCTTGCTGTTGTAGGATCACTGGATTCTGGTGGTGCCATATTGCCCTTTCTGTTATTGAATGTGTTCTTACACTGGCATTTAGGCATCTGGATTTGGGATGATTATAGGTCTAGGTGTTGATTCTTGCATTTTTCTTTGTTGGGTGGGTGTTTTGTTCTTTTGTTTTCTGTTTCCTCTCTTGACTTCTGGCCTAAGTGGCCAAGGGTTCTGGTGATTATCAAGTCTTGGGGTCAGTAGGGTGTCTCCGCTGATGTTTGTGGGGCCTTGGGTGCCCAGATCCTTCTTGGCCTCCTGTAAAGATAAAGTCTTCTGGGCCTATAGAGTCTGCTCTTCTGACTAGTGTGGGCTGTACTGTGCCTATGGAGTCTGCTGGAGTTGTAGGGCAGGGCTGGCCACAGGAAGGATGATGAGGTGGGTAGAGTTGGGCAGTAGAGTGGGTCTTGGGGGAACAGAATCCAGTGGGTGGTGGTGGTTCAGCTGGCAGGCAGGTCACTCACCTGCTATCTGGTTGGTGGGGACTGTACCAGAGCAGTGGAGTTGCACCAGAGTTGGGGGCAGGGCCAAGCAGTCTTGCTGGTGCTGAGATGGGGGGAGGGGGGAGCCACAGGATTTGCCCTGAGGTTTAGGGTCTGGAGATTGGGACACCTTAGGTGGGAGGCCAGTCATTCACCTGTTCTTCAGACTGATAATGGGCTGTACCTGTGCCTATGGAGTCTGTTGGAGTTGCAGAGAAGGGCTGGCCATGGGGAGGATAATGAGGTGGGTGGGGTTGGGTGGCTGAGTAGGTCTTGGGGGAGCAGAATCCAGTGGGTGGCAGCAGTCCAGCCTGCAGGCAGGTCACTCACCTGTTTGCCTGTTGGTGAGAACTGCAGCAGAGTAGTGGAGTTCCACCAGAGTTCGTATGTATTGTTTTTGCTCATTGAAGTTGTCATTGTTTGGTGGCAATTCTGAACCATTTCTTTGAATTCTCTTCTTTGTCATATGTGATCCCTGAAGTCTCTGTTCAGTTACTTTAATGCCTTACATATATGGAACCCAAAAATTGAAGGCCCTGTTAGTCATGCCTCACTCAGCTGTGGGTAAATATAAGCATCAGGAACATGTAGTCTTTTAACTTTCTTGATCACATGTATTTCTTGTGGATGTTCCAAGGAAAGAACAAATTGATTTTGTTTGTTTGTTTGTTTGTTTTGAGACAGAGTTTCTCTGTGTAGCTTTGGTGCCTGTCCTGGAACTCACTCTGTAGCCCAGGCTGGCCTTGAACTCACAGAGATCCGCCTGCCTCTGCCTTCCAAGTGCTGGGATTAAAGGCGTGCGCCACCACTGCCCGGCGAACAAGTTGAATTTTACTCTGTTAGAAGATTATAGAAACAGAGGAATATTCTAGAACTTTTGTTTTCATAGCTAATTCTAGTGGACTTCTGTTTAATGCTGGGATAATACGATTGGTGGCAGCTCATGACTTCGTTATTGGTTGTCAGTTGTGCTAGGTAAGTCCCTCTTCCAGGTTACTTCGTAATGAGAGCCATCCTACCACTAAACTCTTCCCAAGAGATGTGTGAGGGTCTCCTGCAGGCTGTAATACACATAGGCCTGCTGACACTGAAGACTTCTCTTTTTCCTTGCAGACCACACCACTCCAGAACCAGATGTGCTGGTACTTCGGCTAAGAAATGCTTGGTTATGGATGCTGATGATGAGGCTGTCTTGAACCTCATTGCTGAGTGTGAGTGGGACCTAAGCAATCCTCCTGGGAGCATGAACTCCAGCCAAAAGGAACATGAGGCTGATCTTCATTATTCCCAAGGTGCGCTGCTCAGCACAGTGAAGGCTCCATGGTTTAGGCAGGCTCTGACTTGAGCATGGACTTGTGATGCTTATAGTATTGGCTTTGAATACTGTGTATTTGGACTATGGAATTACAAAAGGAAAAGTTAATGGATCTAAGTTGAGTCTAGCCATAATTGCAGTTTGAATTTCATTTTTTCTCAGAGCATAGGAAAAAAAATCAGATATAAACAAGAAAGCTAGACACCCACATCTCCTGTGAGGAGGAACAGTCAGTCACTTGGCTCTTATGATATGCCAGTGCTCAGGAGCCTGATTAGGCCACTATACCTACCAGGATCTCAGAACTTCTCACACTGTGTGAACTTAATATGCACCAGAGACTTGCTTATAAGTTTTAATTTGATGTCTTCTACTCCATGATGAGCTTCCTAGAGTCATTCATGCTGGGGCCAGCAGCTCCTGAGCCATATCTTCCCAATCCTGGTGTCCTCAGTCCTCTTAATCCTAATTCCTCTCATGGTTATGTTTATAACTTTACCTTGCCTCTTCCTTAAGGGTTTTGATGCAGTGTTGGCCATTTGTGTATCTTCTCTTGAGGTACTTTAAAGCCTGCCCATCCTCTTGTTTAATGGGCTCATCTCCCTTTTTGGTGTTGTATCATACAAAATATATGTGGATTTTAGATCTAAGACCTTCCTCTCAATCCATTGATTGATTGCCTTTTCACTTTCATAACAGTGCTTCAAAGAACAAATAAGTTCAATTAGTCATTTTTTTCTATAATAGAATGTGCTTTATTGTGTCCTAATATGAGACCTTTTTCTCCTTCATGCTATAGAAAGACTGCCCAGGTTTGCACACGGTCCACAATTTGAAGTCAATGCTGAGTGACAAAAGTACTGCATTACTGGTCAAGACCTCTCTCTGTAGTTGTTTTTGTTGTTGTTGTTGTTGTTGTTTTTCACTCTTATTCTTTGCTCTTTGGGGGCCCGCCACCCCGCTCCCAGATAATCACACAGAGACTTATTCTTCCTTATGAGTGTCCGGCCTTAGCTTGGCTTGTTGCCAGCCAGATTTTCTTAATTTAAATTATCCCGTCTACCTTTTGCCTCTGGGCTTTTACCTTTTTCTATTTCTGTATAACTTTTCTTTATTTCTTACTCCATGGCTTGCTGTGTAGCTGGGTGGCTGGCACCTGGTGTTCTCACTCCTCCCTCACATTGTTTTCCTTCTATTTATTCTCTCTGCCTGCCAGCCCCACCTATCCTTTCTCCTGCCTAGCTGTTGGCCGTTCAACTCTTTATTAGACCAAAACTCAGGTGTTTTAGGCAATCAAAGTAGCACAGCTTCACATAGTTAAACAAATGCAACATGAAAGAATGCAACACATACTTGCATCATTAAACATATATTCCACAGCATAAATTAATGTAACACATCTTCAACTAATATTCCACAATATTTCCCCCTTCTTTTCTAAGTAAAAATTAAAGGTTTTACCTTTAACATAGTAAAATTATATACAATAAGAACAATTATCAAGGATTACATTCACAATGTCCAGTCTATTTGTGTCTGGCAAATTTAGAGAAAATACTCCATTATCTATCCTATCTTAGTGAATCCAAAGTTTTATACATAATTTACTTTCTATCATAACTAAAGTTAAGGCATTCTTAATCTATCTAGGTTGGATTATTTTAGCAGTCCCTTTCAGAAATTATTTAGGTCCAGCCTCTTTAATTTCCTTCCCAGGGGCCCAGAAGAGATGTTACTAATGGCAGGGGTATTCTTTGGGAAAATGATCTAAGTACACGATGCGCCTTCATCTGTCTACTTTATTCCTCTGAGATTATAGCTACACATCTTCAATTCTATTCTTATATTTAGCTCCTTTCTGTCTCTTCTCCTTCTGTCTTCTTATAACTAACCCTTTTCTATCCTCGTCCTCATTTTCAACCTCATTCTTCTCCATCTTGGTTCCTTCCCTCCTCATCTGAAACTGGTCTCTCTCCTACCAGCAGCTTGACCTGACAGTATAGTGCAAAGCTCCCAAGGTATATCTACAAGAGCTGTGATAGCCAGCTCAATTTGCAATCCAAAGGGAGAGTGAATAGAGGAGGTGAGGTCAGATAAGACCTGGAATAAATCAGGAAGGGAATTTATGTGCTCAAAATATATTCTTATAAGTGGTTAGGTGAAAAATTACTAGTTTATCATAAATGTGCTCAAACTACAATATTACAGGTGGTTAGGTAAAAGAGTCTATAAGTCATTAAAATAAAACTGCTTTTATTGTCCTGTGCAGCCAAATATTGGCAGGGTGGGGTGACTCTGCTCAGAGCTAGGAAACCTGTCTCAAAGCTACTTTGCACCTTGTATGCAAAAAAAAAAAAAAAAAAACCAAAACAAACAAACAAAATAAAAAAAAAAACCCTTTTGTTCTGAGTCAGTTGCTCTGGAATGCCATTTGGGCTGTGAGAGAAAGGAGGCTCTCAGCTTCATTTGCACAAGAAACAAAGCTATATCTAGGATGCTAGAGAAGAATTTTAGGTAAATGCACTGTTAGAAATTCTTGGAAGCATATATAGCACACAAGAAAATTATTGCAGGAACTGGCTAATATATATATAAAAGCTAAAATATCACCAAGACTTCTTAAGCCATGGCCTGTCCTTCAGAAAAGTCTTTGACCTTTCTAAGTAGTAGCTTTTGTGATAGTAACTGGATTCCATACATTTTCCTGTAGCTTGCAGCAAGTCCCTCTTTCAATTCCATGTCTCTTAGCAGCCATCATTTGCTTATCAGCAATCAAAAAAAAAAAAAATTCAAGGTCAATACAGCAACATACAGGATCCAGACTCCCTGTGTATATCCCATCTTTATGTGGCTTATTTGTTTCTTATTATTTTAATTCTTGATTTAAAGACTTTATTATTTTTAAACTATTTCTTTCTTTCTATGACTGTCTATATCCATTTTTCTTTTCTTAAGCCTACACACATTGTTAAACATACTGTAACCTGTTTAGAAGTTTTTTTCGTCTGGATCTGTCTTTACTGCATATCTCTAGTCTTTTTGGACCGCATGAATCTTTAAACTGCTAAGTGGCTCAACTAGGACCACTGCACAGCTTAGATGGCTGTTTCAGACTGCTTCAAGGGTCATGAGAGCCAAGCCTAAAGTTCAGGGCCCAGTTGGAGGTGTGTTTGACTAGGAACTACATTCAACCCCCCAACAAAGTTCAGGGCCCAGTTGGAGGTGTGTTTGACTAGGAACTACATTCAACCCCCTGTGGGGCGTTTACCCAACCACCCCCACAGTTCCCCAGAGTTTTCTTGAGTGCGAGCAGCAGGAAATATTAGATAGAAGGATTTATTGCGGAGAATATCGCGGAGATAAACAGATAGAAAATAAAGGATAGCCTCGAGAGGGCCTGGAACCTATTCCAATGGGCCCCAACTGTCTCTGCCCCAGGGTTTTTATAGAGACGCCAAGGGGTGGAGCAAAAGACCTCCTCCCCCAGCACAGTCAAGTGCAGACCATCCCAGACACCTGCACTTAGGCCCGTGGTCTAATCATCCTCTATGCGGACCTGCTGGGTAAACCCATGAGGAACCCGAGAACGGGCTCCCACAACCCCCCAACTCTGTAATTGATAGGAATTCCAACCACGCCCCATGGTCGTGCATGCCCAGCGGGACACTTAGTCATCTCCGCCTTGTCATTTCTGGGTCATACGTCCTGTGTGACCCATGCCCCGTGGTTATGCGGTCACGTAGTCGTGCAGACGACCGGGTGATCTCTGTGTGTGAGCCTGTGTGCTCGGGCACTCTCTCTCCCCACCCCCACCCCCCACCTTCCCCTCCTAATCAAGCTCTAAACCACTGGGTTCTGTCATGATCATGGCCTTTCCACGCAGTAACCAGCGCCAGCCACCAGCGCCGTTTTTCCTTTCAGAAATGCCAGTGCACTGCACTGTGGCAGGCATTTTTCACTTGGAGTGGAAAAGGCTGTTTCCGTGTTCTGCTGTAAGGCAGAGTTTCTTAAAGGAGTCATGTCTGTGTTTTTATTTTGTTTTTTTCAGCTTTCTCAGGCCCTAGGGATATTCAAGCCCCAAGTTAGGTGTCAAAATGTGGTTGACTTTTTTCTTTTTTTTTTTAATCTCTTACTCTGCTCTTTGGGGGTCTACCACCCAGCTCCCAAATAATCACACAGAGGAGACTTATTCTTTCTTATGAATGCCTGGCCTTAGCTGAGCTTGTTGCTAGCCAACTTTTTCTTATCTTAAATTATCCTGCCTACCTTTTGCCTCTGGGCTTTTATCTTTTTCTATTTCTGTATATCTTATTTCTTGCTCCATGGCTAGCTCTGTTGCTGGGTAGCTGGCCCCTGTCATCCTCTCCTCTCCTCTTTTTTTTTGTTTTTGTTTTTGTTTTTGTTTTTGCTCCTCTTTATTCTATTCTCTCTGCCTGGCAACTCTACCTATCCCTCTCCTGCCTAGATACTGGCCATTCCACTCTTTATTAGACCAATCAGGTGTTTTAGGCAAAGTGACACAGCTTCACAGAATTAAACAAATGCAACACATTTGAATGCAACACGTCTTTGCATCATTAGACAAATATTCCACAGCATAAATGAATGTAACACATCTTTAACTAATATTCCACAACATCTCCCACTTCTAGTTATTCTGAGCATCTGTTGAAAAGAGTAATCATATATCACTGGATATTTGTTGAGGCAGTTGGCCTGCATCTGTTTCCTGATCTGTAAATCCTGTCTTCCCATACACTGCCGCTCCATCTTGGTTACTTGGGATTGAGTCTTGTTACCCTTGAGCACTTCCATTTTCCTACCTGTAGAACTACCTGGAATTCACTGCAGTGTTGACTGCTATATTAACCTACTAGACTTCCTTGTCTTATTTAATTGATTTAAGGAAGGTATATTTTATAGATTTCAAATACTCTCACAAACTTAAAATGTAATTTTTAATGAAGTAAGACTTAAAATGTTTTTAATAAAATAGACTCCGGACATCTGTTGAGTCCTTTGTCCATCCAGCATCAATGTGGGGACTCAGTGAGGAGAGGCCACGAGAAGAAGAAAGGCACCTCTAGAGGGTGCTGTCCAGGTCATTCACCACAGGACCAACTCTGTGGGGAGCTCACACCACAGCATGGAGTGCCAGAGGCCTGCCATGTGCATGTGCCACACACCCGCTTCACTTCACACCCAGGTAATTACCAAATCCTGCCAGAGCCTTTCTAAGTAGTTATACATTATTCACAGTATTTGCTATAACTCTGAAAATTTTCCTGATATCTTTATACTTATATATGAAGTTCTAAAATATCTTTGGAAAGGATTTGGCACATTGGAATTTATCATACACCCGTATTTTAGATTGCAAGTTTGAAATTTCTTGGTATTTTCCCACTGTGAACACATACTCTTACTCTGCCTCTCACATTTCTCTCTATCCTTGTCTAGCCCCATAGGCACATGCTTTCTTCTAAATACACAGGCCAAACTCATCACAGTAGCTACATTTTTAATACCAAAGATGAGGAAGATTGAATAAGTTAATTGAGAGTACCATGAGCATCTATAGTGTAAGTATAAAACTTCCCACATAAATAAACCTGTTATCTTGAGGCTTCTTGTTTTAGTCACATTTGTGAGCCCTTCAGAAGTACAATGGTCCGGCAATGTGGCTTTCTAGAATTCTGGGCTGTGGTTAAGCTAGGGTTATGCTCTTGTACCTGTTTCATGAAACCCCCAGAGACCACCAAGGAGCCAGTTTCCGATACAAGCACATAAGGGTTCTTTTATTCAGGTTTAACCTGGGCCACCACACAGCACATGGAAGGAAATGTGGTGTCAGCCACGAGCCCAGGTGTAGAGGGTTTTTATAGGGAAAAACCACAAGCCGGGAATTGGCAACTTGGGATTGGGTAGAAGGGGCAAGGTAATTTTTTGAAATTATTGGTCTAGACTTTGGGTGCGAAACCACATTTGAAACCATTGGGTTAGGCTTTTGGCGGGGAACCACAACCTGCTGAACAGGATTATCTAGACTGCTCAGCAGGATTATCTAGATATCTTCAAGGGCCTAAACTGCAGATAGGATGTCTGCAGGAGGATGCTGCTCTGTATCTGTTGCAGTTGTCATGGCACATTCCTGAGCCTGTAAAATTAAATCTAGGCCTTCACAATGCCCCTGTGCAGTGCCTTCCCTGTGCAGTTCCCTAGACAAGCATGTCTGCCCCTCCAAGAGGGCTAGTGAGCAAGTGCATAGGATGTCCCGTGTCATTTGGTCATCCTGGCCCATTTAATCTCTTGGACATGCACATATGTGATGTTGTATAGAGAACTTTGTTGACCTGATTCCATTGACATGATGCAGAGCAAGTACTCACAGAAGACTGCTACTTAGTAAGGATGGAGTCTTGTCTACTTCATTCAGGCTTTCCTCGAAATCCATGTTTTGTGACATTGCTCCCTTGTGTGCCTCCATCCTTTCACCTCCTACTTGTTCCTCTTGTGTGTCTTTATGTGTATGTGTGTGCATAGATACTCTTGTGTTTGTTGCATATGCCTGTATTTGATGGACACACATTCACATTTGTGGATGTATTTTTTTTTAATTATAATAGCAGCCTCTATATCCCAGAGAATTCAGTCTAATGAGGACTCTGCTCACTTTCTCTGTGTTACAGACTCTATGGATGTTGAGGACTGTGGTTCTTCTTCTCAGAAATCAAGTTTGTCATCACAGAATATATTAAATTCTTTGCCTGTTCCTGAAAAGTACAGGAAGCGAAGGATGCCTGGTGGGAGATTCCAGGTGCCTTCAGACCGGGAGTGTCTGAGCTGCCTAGAGAGGGCTGATGTGCCCTCTGGCCTCAAGGACAGTCTGAGCAGACAGGATGGCATGGAGAGCCACAGTCAGATGGCCATGTCTCATCCTGAGTCTTTGGAGGCTGAAGAGCAGACATCTCATGGCACAAGTGACCCCAGAGTGGTGAGCAGCTGGAGCAGAGGGGTCAGCAGCTAGAGACATGCCTGCGGTGATATGTTGTGTATCAAATAAAGCTTGCCTGAGGATCAGAGGACAGAGCCAGCCACTAGATTAAACATAGAGGCCAGGCAGTGGTGGCACACACCTTTAATCCTAGCACTCAGGAGACAGAGATCCGTCTGGATCTCTGTGAGTTCAAAGCCACCCTGGACTATTGAGATTGATCCAGTGTAGGAGAGAAACAGAGCCAGGCAGTGGTGGCACACACCTATAACCCCAGTACTTGAGATTTCATGCCTTTGCTACCAGTATTTGGGAAGCACACACACCAGTAATCCTAGCACTAGGAAGGTTGATACAGGAAATGATATGGCTGGGCAGAGAAAGGCATGTAAGGCAGAGGAAACAGGAACTGGAGACCCCCTTTCGACTGAGGACTCAGGGTCATCAGTAAGAAGTTTTATGGAGTTGGAGAGGTGAGAAGTGGCTGTGGCTTGTTTCCTCTGATCTTTCATCATTTACCCCAATATCTGGCTCTAGGTTTTTATTAAGATCAATGAGAACACATGCCTCATTCCCAGTAAGTGTGTTTTAGCAACACAATTGTCTTGCTTGCCATGTCTTATATTTCAGTACTAATTGTGGCCCCACAATTAGAAAGCTGCTTTTAAATAATTTCTTTGGTGCTTGATCACATGCATGCCTATACTAGTGCTCTGGTTCTGAGAGGCAAGTACAGCCACACAGTAGAGGTGATTTTCCCATATTTACATTTGTCTCAAAAGTTGGAATCAGGGTTTATGGCAAGTGAATCATCAGTAACTCTGTTATGAAGGGAGAATCCTGGAAATATATTTTATGGTTTCCAAAGAATACATTCCTGCTGAGGGAATTAAGAATTCTCATACCCTCAAGGACACAGAGGCTTCCTAGAGGGGCTTCAAGGTGGTTGAGTCTTTGATTGGTCCTAAGCTGGACATGAGGCAAAAATAAGGGAAGCATGTACCAGGCTTTTACTTTGGGCCACCACTCAGCTCCCAGATCATGACACAGAAACTAATTAGTTATAAATGCTCAGCCTAGCTTAGGCTCATTATGGCTAGCTCTTTTAACTTAAATTAACCTGTTTCTCTTTATCTACTTTTTGCCTTGGGTCTTTTTCTTTCCTTCTCTGTGTCTTACTTTGACTGCTTCTGGTGTCTGGCTGGTTGCTGGCTGGCTTCTTGCCCTGGGTGTGCCCCTTGTTCTCTCTTTTCTTCTCTTCTCTCCTTTTCAAGCCTAGAGTTCTCCTCCTATTTATTCTCTTACTGCCAGCCCCATCTACCCTTTCTCTGCTAAGCTATTGGCTGTCCAGCTCTTTATTAGACCAGTCAGGTGCCTTACCTTAGGCAGGCAAGGTGAAATAAATGCAACACATCTTTACATAATTAAACACACATCCTTACATCATTAAACAGATACAGCATAAAGGCCAGGCAGTGGTGGCACACTCCTTTAATCCCAGCACTCGGGAGGCAGAGGCAGGTGGATCTCTGTGAGTTCAAGGCCAGCCTGGTCTACAGAGCTAGCTCCAGGACAGCTAGGGCTGTTAAACAGAGAAACCCTGTCTCAAAAAAAAAAAAAAAAAAAAAGACAAAAAAACAAATGCAGCATAAACAAGTGTAACACACCTTTACACAGTTAATATTCTGCAGCATAAACAAATGTAACATATCTTTGCCCAATTAAAATAATATTCCACAACAGAGGATGGCTATTTGGAGCCATAGTTAAGGTCACTTCTGGAATTTCTGGGCCATGTTAGAGACAGTAGTTAGTTGACTACAGTGTTAGTTCTGGGGACTGTTTTCATATGTGATGTGACCATGTCGATTTGCAGCCTCTGTTTCTCAGGTTCTGGATTGGGGAAAAGAAGGGAAATGGGGGAGGGGAGTGCTATGCTGTCACAGTCTTATGAGGAGCAAGCATCACAAATGCGTGTCTCCAAAGAAGGTATCTCTTGTTCTCAGCCCAAGGTTGTGACCCTGGACATGGGTTTCTTCCATTATGGAGACAAGCATTTTATACTCCGGCATGTTGTGTTAGAGACTTAGCTTTTGCAGTGAGCTGCCACCGTAAAGCCAGTCTTAAGCTTGTGTCTTCATTGTAGCTGTCTCCTAAACTTGGCGTGGCCACAGTGCCTGAGCAGAGGCCTGCTCTGGAAGTGGCACTCCTGGAGGCACTCCTCGACCTAATAGACAGGTGCTCAAGCGGCAGTGGATCCCTGCATGGCAACGAGGCATTCCTTGGTGAGTCCTGGCAGCATCTCTTGGTAGATGCTGCTCAACTGCTAGGTTTGGGGCTCTCAGTGTTCACACAACCTGGGGTTCCAGAGAAATGGACAATTATTCCATGCTAGATAATAGACATCCTCTGATGAGTATTGCATGTTTGTTATGTGTCCTACCTACTGTCACTGCCCTTCTTGGTGGCTGGAGGGCTTTGTTTCTGTGGGCTACCACCTGCTATGCTACAAATGCTGTGCCCATCGTTGGTCTCCAGTTACTCTGTCATCTTATGGGCATTTGGAAGGCTGGGAAACTATCTGCTGTCTTCTGATTTTCTAGGTATGTCTGGTTGAGTACAGGACCCTGGATTCACAAAGCTTCAGATATGTGATAGGAACCCAACAAGATTGTTTTCCCTAGTGAGTCTCAGATATTATTAATGGACCAGCCTTGGGTCTATTTGCTTCTGCAGACTGGAGATTCAGGATGAGAATGTTCTAGGGTTCCTCATGCAGTGTTGTGCTCTGAGCCTAGGCAATGGCTGCTTTCTCCAGAAGCCTGGGCTACATGTGAGTGTCCTTTGCGAGCCAGGCCCATCAGCACTGAGCTGCCTAAGCTACTTCCTGCCATGGCTCCTGTCTTAATCAGGGTTAGTATTGCTGTGATGAAACACCATGGCCAAAGCAACTCAGAGAGGAAAAGGTTTATTTGGCTTACTCTTCCACATCACAGTTCATTATCAAAGGAAGTCAGGATAGGAACTCAGAATAGGAACCTGGAGGTAGGAGCTGTTACAGAGACCATGGAGGGATACTGCTTATTGCCCTGCTCCTCATGGCTTGCTCAGTCTGCTTTGTTACAAAATCAGGACCACCATCCCAGAGATGTCCATCCCCCACCCCCATCATGGGGTGAGCCCTCCCCCATTAATCATTAATTAAGAAAATGCCCTACAGACTTGCCTGCAGCCCCATCTTATAGGGCATTTTCCTAATTGAGGTTCCTTCAGATGACTATAGCTTGCATCAGGTTGACTTAAAGTAGCCAACAGTTCCTGACCACTACCCTCAGGGGTTGGGGCTATGACCCTTTTAGTTATTCCTGGATCAGAAACCTGGGAACTGCAGTACTGGATCCTGGTGACTATACATCTATCCTTTAATCAGAGCCAGTGTCTTGCTGCAGCAGAAGTGGTCTGTGGTAGCTGTGATGGTCGTGATGCTGTTGCCACCTTGGAGTTTTCGGGCCAGGCTACCACATACTCACCACATCTTCCTGATGTGGCTACCTGGCATATGCAGCCTTCTTTCGAGGGTTGCCTTTTTGTAAATTAAAAGCCATGTCCGTTATTCTCATAGAGAAGCAAGCAAGGTGGTTTCAAGGTACCAGCCTATTTTTTTCTGTGCTCTGCTTTCAAGTCACATAGCATTTTTATTTTTTATGTTCCATCTTTGCTGTGATATGGTAACTGTACTTCCTTTTGACTTCCAGCTCAGGCCAGGCATGTTTTGTCATCTCTTCAAGACTTCACAGCAGCTCGGGACAGTTCAGCACTTGAAAAGGAAGAAATTAGCTACCTATCTCTTGAAAATAAGTCTCTGCAAAGCCGCCTCGCTGAGCAGCAGCAACAGTACACTGCTGCAGTGAGCAAGGTGACGGCAGAACTCAACAGTTCCAGGAAGGAGCTGGTGAGCGATGCTCTGTGTTGTTTGCATTTGTTCACGGGATGAGGGAAAGACAGATCCGGCCCACAGACCAAGGGCAGTGCTGACTGTTCTGCTCCACAGCCACTCGTGGACTCCCTCTTGCTGCTCCAGACCAAGCAGTTTCCCTATTAGCAGTTGTTGCCTCCAGGGATCCACCTGACTGTTTCACCCCCAGGTCCCAGAAAACAGTGAACCTGTGATGGTGTTGCTGCTGATTGCCAAACTCTGCCTGGTGCTCTCTTCTCAGAGAGTCTGGATGGAAGAGATGGGGGAAGAAGAAATGAACCAGACTCATTCTGTCCCTGACATAGGCTTCTCAGTCCAGCTGCATGAGGTTCCAATTATCTGGGTCATCTGTGGTCTTTGCTCTGTTGTGCACCAACCAGGCAACATTAGAAGGTTGTGTCTGAGTCTAGGGGACTCTCTAACACCAGATGGTACCCAGAAAGAACCATATAAACTTGGACCTGGCCTCTAAGTTGATCCTTATGGGGTGTATTGTGTTTAAAGTATTGGGGTGCCCTCACTTCTTTTAAGTTTATGTTGATGGTTGAAGGGTTGGACCACAGAGCCACCTACCACCTACCATCCACCAGAGCAAGTACTAATCTTCTACTTAGCTCTGTGGCTTTGTAGTACATAACCTCAAAATGATCCATGGACCAACATGGCTGTGGCCAACTTCTGCAATAGACTGAGATTAACTAAGCACAAATCAGTTGCCAAAACTCAAGACTCTCATCTGAAAGCCCAACAGGTCAGGATCTTCTTCAGGCTTGCTCACAGAAGGTCTTGATGACATGTGAGCCTCTGTATGGGCTGCAGGAGTCTTCATGATACCAAGAAGGGGAAGCGAGTCTGTCCCCTCTCTACCAGTGGATTGGTTCACCCCTGGCAAGGTCAGCACCTAGGAACCATGTTAGGTTCTGGGTTAGTGGGTCCCTGCAGCAGCTGCCTGGCTTGTCTCCTGCATTAGTCACCTGTTTGGTAAAATAGATGAATATACAACAGTATTAATATCTTCATTTTGGAAAGATCTACACAAGAGATGACACTCGGAATCTCATTTTAGAGAAAACCAAAGAACAGTGAACTGACACAGATGGTCTCTGGTATTGAAAGCACTGTGGATCTCCTGCATGTGCACAGAGCTCTTGCATCTGGAGAGGGCCAGAGCCCAGTGTGCCTGGACTGCAGTGCTATGCAGAGTATTGTCTATGTGGGATTGTTGGCCCCATGGGACACAGTATAGTCTTACAAGAAAACAATTAGTAGTACCTGTTAAGGCAGACACAGTGAGTATGCATCACCCTGCCAGGTGTGGAACAGCGGCACCCAGAAAGACAGAGTCCAGAAGTCAGCATTGCCCTGCTGCAGTGTGGAAGTAATGCACAGAAGTATCTGTGCTGAAGGGCAGCCTTAAGTGCCAAGACAGGAACAGGCTAAAGTTCCTTGTCTTTTTGAGTGAGCTGAGCCATGCTTCTGGTTATCAAGCCTTAGAGAAGAAGGAGTAGCCTAGCAAGTGGATCAGGAGTTTGTATGGTAAAAACCACCTCCTTGGACAGCTGGTATGTAAAGGACCAACAAGAGCCACTGTCTAGAGTGACTATTAACAAGTCCTAGTGAGCTTCACAGGGTAGAGACATTAGTCTGCATGGAGCTTCCTGTGACATCTAGAATTATGTCTTGAGGCAGAGGCTCTGCCCCTAACCTGGTATCCTAAATAGTTTCCAAGGCAGATGTACCTACCCAGTCTGGATGTGTTCAGTCCCCTGCTGCCTTTGCCCCATCACATGATTGAGAAGTCGGAGCCAGCACAGCCCAGCACTGAGAGCTAGTGCCAGAAGGAAGAACCTGTGTGGGGACCTCATTGCAGGAGTTGCTTTGAAAGGAAGACTTAAAGCTGCGGCTGAGTTTTATTAGGGTATTTTGTTGAATAATAAGAGTTCTTTATTTTCTTTTTTGTAAGTTAGAGGGATTTTTGGTTTTTGTTTTGTTTAAGGGATGTCATTCCTCAGCTTAAAGTATTGGTTCTCACTCCTCTTTTCCTGGTGGGAGGCATGAGGTCCTGTCTAGAGCCTAGAACTTTATGAGTATGTCTGCTGGTACCTGAGCTGCAGGTGGGTGAGTACAGATCTGTGGGAGCCCTGACTTCACAGGCAGCTTGCATGGCTCCGGTCAAGAAGCCTGGTGACTTTCGGCACCTTTGCAACAGCTGTCATTACTGGCTCTGATGGTGGTCCTGTTCTCTGTCTTATGTTTCAGTCTTAACACCCCAGCTTATGTTCAGCATTTTCCCTGCCTGTGAAGATGCTCAATTCCTACTTGTGATAGGGGATGACTGATGGAATTCCCCACATTTGTAGACTGAGAAGCCAGATCATAATGGAGTTCTCATAGGAAGGATACCAGTAATACTGAATAGTATAGAACCCCTGGTGATCTCTGTGACAATGGGATCCTCATGGAGGGAGAGGACCCACCAGCTATCAGTCATTGCTCTTCTAGTATCACACCTGAATTCCTCTGATGCATATCCCACCTCCCCTCTCCCCTTTTCTCATGTCCTTCCCCTTCCAGTGGGGAGTTAGGGTAGCCTGCTGGTGGGAGAATATGCTTGAGTGTGATTTTTGCTTTGTGTTGTGATTCAGAATTATACTATGGAAAGGGAAACTTGAGTCTATGGTGAGTGTCCAAAATTTTATTTCATTTGTTAAATATATTGACTGAACTTGACTTGTCTGCATTTGTTTTCTATGCTTCTAGGACACATTGAGGCAACATTTAGACAAATCTTTGGAAGAGAATAGTAACTTAAAATCTCTTCTATTCAGCGTGAAAAAAGAAGTAAAAAATTCAGACACATCAACTGCATTAACTTTGCAGATCACTGGTAAGTGTACAGTTTATTTGGTAATACTACTTGGTAAAATTTGAGTGCTCATGCATGCATAGGGTAGACATTGTTCTAAATCACTTTATGCCAGGAGTTTGAATCAGTAAATACTGTCTGAGTGGGTCTAGAGACCCAGTCCAGTTGTTAAAGGCTGCCTATAGCAGCTAGTCTGGGGCAGTATATGGAGGTAACTTCTTTGGCTCTTTCCACCACCATCTAGATCTTGACTCTTCTGCTTTCTGAGAAAGCAGGTGTCTTGATGGCTGTTTGTGATCACTGTTTCTTTCAGGTCCAGATAATTTTTATTTCTTTCTGCACTTCTTGGGGTGTTTTCTTTTTCCATTTCAAAAAGAGTCAAGCCAACTGTGTTTCAGAAGGGCAGACTGTTGAGCACACATTGCTCTCATTTCAAGGGAAGCTTTAAAGAGCCAGGAGGTAACTGCCTCCTGTCTGATCCTTTGCACCTCAGCCTTTGCAACACAAAGCTCTACAGTTGAGGAGTGCCACCAGGTTTGATTCTTGAACCAAGTGTCTCCTCAGATATCTTGCTGCTTGCTGTTTTTAGGGTGTTTTGTTGAATAATAAGAGGTTTTTTTTTAAGTTAGAGGGGATTTTTATTTTTGTTTGGGGGATGTCATTCCTCAGGTGCCATCCCATTTTATTTCTTTTCTTTTTGAGATTATATCATTTTTTCCATTCCCCTTCCTCCCTCTAGACCCTTCCATATACCACTTTCTTTCAAATTCATAGCCTCCTTTTTCATTAATTGTTGTTATATGCATATGTATGTATATGTGTATGTGTATATATTCCTACATATAACCTGCTCAGTCTATATAATGTTACTTGTATGTATGTTTTCAGGACTGACCATTTGGTATTAAGTAAACTGTTAGTGTACTTTTCCCTAGGAAAGACTATTTTTCTCTCGCTCCTAGAATTCCTTAGTTGGCTATAGTTCTTTGTGTAGGGTTGAAGCTTCATGGTCTTTCCCTGTCCACTTAGGCATGTCTGTTGTTCAGCTCATGTTTAAGCAGTCGTGTTGACAAGATTTTATTGGTGTAGCTTCTGACATTACCAGGAGACACAGTCTTACAGCCAGCCCCATGATCCTCTGGCTCTTACAGTCTTCCCCACCCCCACCCCTCTTCCACAATGTTTCCTGAAACTTAAGTGTGGTGAATTGTTTGTAGATGTATCCATTGGGACTGAGCTCCACAACTTTGCATTTTGATTGATTGTTGTTTTCTATAATCTGTGGAAAGAGACATTTCCTTGATGAGGGGTAAGGACTTATACTTATCTATGGATATAAGGACAAATATAATTTAAAGTGTAGTTAGGGATTATGCTGATTTGGTAAAGTGATGGTTGTAGGTTTTCCTCCAAGATCCATGACTTCACTAGCCCTAGGTAGTTGGCTAGGTTTCCAGTACCAGGCATGATTTCCCTCTTGTTGAGTGGGTCTTAGGTCCATAATGAAAGCTGTTGGTTATTGCCAAGGTATGCATGCCACTCTGCATCCTTAGAGTTAATCCTGCCATGCTGGTTAGTTCTATGAGACGTTACTTGTATTGTCTTGGCTCTATTCCTTCTAGCCTTGCCCTCACTTCTTATGCGATGCTCTCTATTGCTAATCTAGCATGAGTTTTCTGACATTCTGTAATTCTGGTTCAGGTTGCTCTTCATTTCTTGTGTCATTTTATGTTTGTCTTTACTCATTTTGAAATGGTGGTTGGGGAGTGGGGGTGGACCTGCTTTGTGGACCTGGCTCTCAGGAGCTATGATTCCTCACACTCCTGCTGTGACTGCAGGGCTTTTCTGTCATTCATTTTACATGACACTTGTCCTTCAAGGAGATAAGCCATGACACCTTTTCTGAATATATGGATTAGAAGTACAGCTGCCTCCTTTTGGGAATTTCTTGGTCCTCCCCTCCCTTCTCTCTGTTGTCATGATTTGCTTAGCCTTTTCCAATAGCAGCTGTTTTTCCCAATGAGGACCCTGTTCTAAAAGGGACTGGGATGGCCAACTCTTTAGACTAAGTGGAACACCTGGTCTCCCCCTCACTAGCAACGTGAAACCTTCACTTAATCTACCATAGTCCTGTCACTGGCCCAGGAAAATGGGTCTTTTGGGTCTCTTCCACATTGTATCTGTCAGATGCCTCACTAATGACAAATACCCCCATAGACGTAGACATCTTGCACTTCCATACCTCTGGGGCTTGGCCTAGTCCCTTGGATTAGGGACTTGACGCTCCTCTGGGGTTTGGGTTTTCATCTAGTATCTCTTGAAGTTTGGTTAATGTGGGGCTCTTGGGGGGCCCTGAGACCAGGCCGCCACTGCTGTCTTCCCTAGAAGCCCTTCACCTGTGCTCTCGTCACAGACACCCCAGATGTTTGCACACTGCTGATTGCTGAGAAGTGTATGCCAGTGTCATTGCCAGCCTCTGCCACGCTGTCCTTTCTGGTTTTCTTGATGTTACTGATACTTTATAGTTTCACAGCCTTGTGTCTTCATATGGCTTTATCTGTATCCTTTGTTTAGATGTGGGGAGCCAATAAATGAGGTATCTCTTTCCCCCTTGAGTTGGAAACTCAGAAATAAATAAGAGTCACATAGATTGAAAGAGAACACCCACAAATGTAATCAGTGGGTACATCAGCTATATGGCCACCACAGACTTCATAATGCTTCTCCCTAAGCCATAGGCTCCCTCATGGGTGCAGGTTGATTCCTGAAGGAGACTCTGCAGGCAGATCCAGTGGAGGAGTCTTCTGCTGGTGCCAGGTCTGTATCTCTGTCTTCGCCTTCTGCTTCCACGTAGGGATGTGACTTCTCAGGCTTACCAGCTTTAGGGTATCAGGTATGGGTAGCAGTTCCCATAGAGGGAGACAGATGTTGCCTTGATACTCTTCACCCCCATCTTTGTGTCTCTGATACTCTTTTTCTGGCTTTAATTTAAACCAGAATGGTCAAAATGTGTGAATGAACATCATTACACAATACTACTTCCTCTCTTCCTCCCTCAGGACTTCAGGCAAGTATGAAACAGCTCTCAGGGGAAGTTGTGGAGTTGAAGCAGCACTTGGAGCACTATGACAAGATCCAGGAGCTCACACAGATGCTGCAAGAGAGTCACAGGTCCGTGTCTGTGTGGGCCACAGGGGTGGGGTGGGGGCTGAGGCACGGGGTGTGGGGCACCAAGAAACAGCTGGCAGTATCTCTCAGGAGTTGGTGTTCAGGCCTCACATGCATTGCCATGTTAACTTTGCACATCAGTGAATATTTCCTTCTTGGTAAAAATTGAGATGATGATGACTGCAAGGAGTACACTCTGAGGTATAGCCTGGAAAGTCTGCAGCCTGAGGTATGGACCCTGGGGTATGGACCCTGAGGTATGGACCCTGAGGTGAGCACCTGAGGTGAGCACCTGCAGTGTACATGAACCAGGAGGTATGGACTAGGAAATCTGAGGGCTAAGTACATGTGTGGCATGTACTTTCCCTTTCACTGCAGTCTATGGCTGTTCACTTAGAAAAATGAAATTATATTTCTCCTTCTTCTGTGTGGGTAGTCAAGGGGGACTAGGAATGTTGGGTTGGGCAAGGCAGACCCTCGCTTTATTGAGGAAGTTTCTTCTTCAGGTCATCAGAGCAGCCCTGTTCCTGGAGCCTCCAGTGGGGAGGGCTGGCCTGTAGTTGTCACCACTCTTCCCTCCTCCTCACTGTTTCGTATTAGGTGGCCACATACCTTTATGTGGAGTCAAGCTAAGCCAAGCTCTCCCTTCACAGGCCTGAGTTACAGTAGTTGGAGGGAAAGGCTTTTGGCAGAGAAGACGGAGCTGAGACCCAGTAGGGAGGAATGGAAGGAAGGAATCTGAGCTACTCATTTAGGGGCAAAAGCAATAGCAGGCAAAACAGTATACTCTTGGGATCCAGTGGGCCATCTGTGGTACATCCAGTGACATTCGTGGTTGAGCTCTCAGCATCCGGGCCCAGATAAGGGCAGAACAAGGTGCAGAACTCTGAAGAGAGTGAGATCAGGCTTTGGTCCACTCATGTGCGTGCTGATGTTATTCAGCAGCCATTTCTGTGATTTAAGCAAACAGGGCCAGCACCTGCTTAGTAGATTATTCAATGGGGTGACTGTCTTCAAAAGTGGCAGAGGTTAGTATTGCCTTGTTTTATCTAAACTTGTGATGCTGCTCACTATGGACACCTTGGGGAACTGAGCAGTGTTGAGAAATTGTGAAAAATGCACTAGCATTCTGAATCCAGCTCTACACTGTACTGTTGCCGCAGCACAATTAACCATGTATGACTAGGAATTAGAAACACTGTAGAATTGGGTCTTTCTAGAGCAGAATATGGTTTTATTAGCCATAAAGGTTATCATTGTCTTGTCGGGAAGACATCACCATTCACTCCTTCAGCTTGTTCCCAAGCTCAGCTCACAGTGACCGGAAGTGCCTTTAGGAGGCTTGTTTAAGCCAAGGGGTCGGGTTGTACCCCATCATGGTATGGAAAAGTCATAGACAGGGACAGTAGTCAGTAAGAGGGGAGGTAACGGAGCGTGAACAAGTGGAGGCCTTGGCACTGTGCATTCAGGAAAACCTGGCCAGAACAAGGGCTGGAGATGCCTTCATGCTGGTGGGTTTTGAGCTAGGCTGTGGCAGTTGGGATACAACAGCAGGCTGGGTACTGGAGGGACTCAGCAGTTATTCTCCTTTTATCCTCCAGTTCCCTAGTCAGCACCAATGAACATCTCCTGCAGGAGCTGAGCCGTATGCGGGCACAACATAGAGCTGAGGTAGAGCAGATGCACTGGAGCTTCCAGGAGTTTAAGAAGACTGCTGCCCTCTTCCCACACCATAGCTCCCGACTTGGTGGCCGCCAGTCCTGCTAGCTCCTTCTGAGCTATGGTCTCCTCCTATAGTTACAGCTCCAGAGTTGTGCCTGGGCAGGTATCTATCTGAATACCCTGGTGAGACTGTAATTACTTTAGAATAATCAAAATGTGTTCATGGTCTGAAGTTCAGCTTGCTTATATGTCCTAAATTGATCTTTGACCCTGGGGCTTTGCCGAATTTGAAATGCTTGTTTGTCATTACACATCCTGTCGTAAAGTACCTGTAGTATTTTTTCCTCCCAATTCGTGAAAGTTTTGTATAATTAAAATGTTTTCATGTGACAAGCAGTCTTTATTTAAAGAATTAATACATTGTTATGTCTAAAAAGTAAACCTTTTAAATGGCTCTTTATAAATTATAACTGACTTTCTCTTTAAATTCTTCTATAAAAACCAGTTACACACAGTAAGTAAGCAAGAAGTAAGTTCCAAGTTGTAATAAAAAAAAATAACATTTATAAATGTGAAAAACATTTTAAGAATTTGTATGTTACCATGTCATAGTAAAAAAACAAACAACTCCCACTCCCTGCCTCTCCCTTTGCTTGCAGTAACTCCTGCAAATAAACAGACTGCTCAGCTGAAACCAGGGGAAGGCTTAAATGCAGTGTACAAATGAAACCCGGATGACTGCATATGTAAAAAGTGCTATTAGAATAGGCAGGTTTAATCCACCAGGAAGATACTCCTTGTAGAGTGAAGCCCGCGCAGACAGATGCTCTTATGCACTAGTGCACCGCTCCAGAGTCCCTCTGGAGACTGCCTGGGATTGTCTAGAAAGCTGTTGTGAATATATTGAAGGAAACATGAACATAATGGAAATAAAACCTTACTAACAAAGGATTGAATATCTGAAACTTTTTGAGCATCGTGTTGGTGTCCAAATAGTCACACTTGGACTAGGAGTGCATCTCCATGTGGAACTCTTGCCAGACATACACGAGCCTCAGTTCCATCTCTAGCCTGAAGTGGGGGGATGAAAAAAAAAAAACTTGATGCCCAGAAAGATCTACATTTTTCTGATTAGGAATGCTCACCTAGAAGTCTGTAAATTCAAAAAAATAAAGAAAATTTGAAATCTAGAACACTTGTCCCAAGCATGGATATAGGAAATAGCCTAAGATTTGGGATTTGGGGATCATATTTATAAACAGTGTCTTTCCTTTTTATTTTTTAATAATATTTCTGAGGGAACTTTCAAACTTTATTCTGGTTCTGTGTATCAATCTTTTTATTAATTCATTCTGGGTACTAATTTTTTTTTTTAATTTCCTTTTGTGGTCATTGTGATATTGTAAAATAAGTATTTGGGTTTTGTTGGTTTCCAAGCACACAGCACCTAGAACCTGACTCTCTGAAGGATGGTATCATTGTGTGCTTGGCTTCAGGATGTGGCCGACCACTGGAAAGATACAGGCAGTGTGATCCCCAACCCTAAGCTCCCAGAAGTGAAGGGGATGATGGTTAAATTGATCACCAATAACCAGAGTTAATAATGCCTACATAATACAGTTTTGTAGTGATATTTAAGGAGGCGGTGCTTCCTGCCATTGTATGTGACCTCTTAGAAGAAAGGTCACATGCCCCATCTCGCTGCTCCTGCCTGTGAGGTGGATTTGCTCCTGGTCAGATCAGAAGACAACTTCTGCTGTCTACTCTGTTCTGTATTCATGAGTGTTTCCTCAATTTATATCTTAATAAATTCTGTTGCCCATTTAATGGACTCACGTGGATTGATCATAATAAGTGGCGCCCACATTACAAAAAGACCCCACACTCCCTGTAGCTCCTGCTTGCAGCCTCTGGGGCAGCAGCGGCAGGTTGGCTCAGAGGCTTGTGTGCTTGCTACAGGAACTTTCTTTGTGAGTAGAGTTTTTGTACCAATTCAGTATGATTGTTTTAAAATGTGGCAGAGCCTGTTCTCACCAACAGCCCAGTCCCTCCTGAGTTGATTTTGGGCCACAGTGTGTGAGGAACTGAGGTGTGTCCTGGCAGGGCTAGACAAAGGAAGAGCCAGCTGCTGAGCCACTTCAGTAATTGTCCTACTGGACCTTGGTCTCGGCCTCACAAGGTCAGAAAGATTCTCCCGCCCAAGCCCTGCATTGGCCCAGGTAGATTTTGTGTTCAGGGCAGTGAGTGAGTTTCAAGTCTCAGCTTTGAGGCTTTTGGGGCATTCAGCTGTGTTCTGTAGCTCCTAACCCCCAAGTCAGGAGTTATATAGTAACTGTCTATTTCTGTTTGAGTTTTTGTAAGTCCTGTATGTCTATGAATTAATTTACATTGCCTTTGTTTTCAGGTTATTTTTCACATAAAGCTGATAATCTTTTATTAGTGCTTTAATAGCTTCAGTATTTGAAGTTGTACCAATGTGTAGACATGTTGCGACACTTGAGCTTTTAAATAAGAAGACCTCACTATCTGGGTAAGAAGATAGCCTCTGTCCATTGGCGTAGTCTACCTCAGATTCCACACCACAGACATGCTCATCAAGCCAGTGAACAAGTAGGCCTGGTGTTCCCATCTTCAGTGAGTCACTGGTGGGTGAGCTCCAGAACATTCATTCTGTCCTTTACCTTTTCAGCATGTATCTGCTGAACCAGCTTCCTGTCTGTCCTTCCTCCTGAAGCCAATCATGGCATTAGACATTTCCCACAATTACAAATGTATTTGGGTTTACTGTTTCATCAGTTTTCCTGTTTTGTATTTCTTTGCTTTTGTTCTATCTGCCATTTCATTTTGTATATTTGTTCTAGTGTGATTTTTCTTTCTCTGGCTCCAGAATTGTCATTTTTTGTTTGTTTAGTTGGTGGTTGGTTTTTCTGGGTTTTTTGTTTTGTTTTGTTCTGTTTTGAGACACAGTCCTGACTATGTAGCCTTGGCTGGCCTGGAGCTCATCATGTAGACCAGGCTGACCTTGAACTCACAGAGATCCTCTAGCTTCTGCCTTCTGAGTGCTGGGATTAGAGGTGTGCACCACCACTCCTGGCCACTTTTAGATTGTGTCTTTTCAGCCCCTGCTAATCAGGAAGCTGGTTAGCACTCTCGATACCTCCAAGGTACACCAGAGCCTGTGAGCACTAGCCTCCCTTTCCACCTTTGGGTTTGTGTAGGATTGTTGCCAAGTGTCTTAATGAAATATTTTTAGTTTCACAAAATATTTGCATAGCTACTATTAATCTGAAGCCACCTGCCTGCTTATTCTTTGTTTTACTTTATGTCAAAGACATTTCCTTGTGATCACTTTCTGCATTTAGGGTTTTTTTTTTTCCTACTGGTAGCAAATTTTTACATTTCTAAAAAACCTTTTTTCCCCTCCTCTTAGCAGCAATCTTCCTGGACTAGTATTTGAGGTTGACCTGAATTTTACTCATCAGATTGATGATGTGCCGTCTTTGGAGTGCTGGTATGCAAGTTTATGGGTCCGCCTTAAGTCTGGACCTCACCTAAGGGCCAGACCTGGCCTTGAGTCTGACAGATGGCTGGTGTATGTGCCCTCGAAGTCCTGCCTAAGCTAGGAAGCAGAAAGCCTCTTGAGTTAAGAGTAACATGAGGCTCTCTGCTGGTGAGCTTTGCTGAAGGAAAGACTCTAGGCACCTCCATGTTAGTACCCAGGTATTAAGGCCCTGCTGGCCAGAGGATGTGACAACTAGTATAGATAGCATATACTTTGAGGAAAATAGAAATCCACATTTTAACACCTTTATTCATCACTTTACCAACTTGACACACAATGTTAATAACAGCAAACACAATGAACAAAATGTTGATAGACACAAGCTGTTTCACTAAAGCAATACGAGCCAGGCCATGATGATATGTCCAACAGGTGACTAGATGCCTTGCACTCTATAGGAGGGACAGGAGGGCCATCCTGACCTGACAGACATTCTGAGCAAGTGTGGTTTAGATGTCAGCATAAGTGCCTTTCTGAGTCAGAACACCCATGACATCAACATTACCCATCACACTGATAAAGTGATATACTCCATATTCCTTAACATTAATAAAATAGTGTAAAAATATATATCACATATATATATATATAAACTTAACTCCCTTTCTTGAAAAAAACTTAGTACAAACTAGTAGTAGTAGCATATTATTCCTTTCAAGTTTAAGTTGTACAGGCTTCCTTTGTTGTTTGGCTTGGTTTAGTTTAAGAGGTCTAAAGGAAGAGATAATTTAAGCGTCCCAAGATGGCCACACCCCTGAACTGTAAAGTTCAGAATGGTCAGTAGTATGTTGGTGAAGAAGAGCAGTTTGGCTCAGTGTTGGAAGGATATTCTGTCTTCACAGTACAGCTAAATTGTCACCCTTGCCATTTTAAAAGGTGTTGGCGGGGCTTTCCCAATGTGCCCATGCTGTAGCCAGGTAGTATACAAGTCTGCAGATGGAGAGATAGCCAGGCAGACAGACAGGCAGTTTTCTCTGAAAGGGGACAGGTGGCAAATGTCATACATAAGTGTCTGTGCCATGGCATTTGTCTGAATCCTCTCAGCCAGTTCTAATGCCAAAGCAGCTACAGAACAGTTTGTAAACACCTGGTACAGCTGTGTGCTAGTAAAACTATTCATTAAAATGAACTGGAGCAGCCCCGGGCCTCTGGGAGTGGGAAGGTTGAGTCTTGGCCCAGGGCAGGCACCTGTCATCTCCCTAGAAGAGACTGCAGGAAAGTGGCAGAGGCTGCTGTGCAGCCCATTTCAGAACTCTCTCCATCTGTCATAATGTCCCTATGCCCCTATGTAAGATAGGATACTGAAAGGTGTAAAAATACTCCAGTATAAATATAGACTTTCAACAATATTTAAACATGTAATTTGAACTTTGATTTTTGGTAAAACATTCCCACTAACTAGTTGCTTATCTTATAGCATTAAATAGAAATAAATAAGAATTCTTCTAGAGTCAGTGTTCTCAAACACCCTACCTACCTACCTTCATTCCCATCTATATTGTTCTTCCTGCAACCTGTACCTTTCTCCTGAATGTCACCTCCAACAGAATGTGTCCCTGTATATAACACCCCCACAGAGAGCATGTTCCTGAGTGTCACCCCCAACAGAACATGTCCCGAGTGTCACCTGCAACAGAACTTCTCTGTCACTCCAACCCATGTCCCTGAGTGTTGCCCCTGACAGAACCTCTCCTTATTTTCTGGCTGTCACACCTTAAGAGAACCTGTCTTTGTCTCCTGAGTGTCTTCCCCTGATAAGAATGTATCTTTTTTGTCTCCTGGGTATCAGCCCACAACAGAGTGTCTCTGTCTCCTGGGTATCCCCTCCAGAAAAAAAATGTCATCTCCTGGTTGTCATCACCTGAGAGAACCCGTCCCTGTCTCTTGTATGTCTATCACCTAATAGCACATGGCTCTGGGTCTCGGTTTGCATGCTATGCAGGTTTTTTTTTTTATTCACAGATAGATACTGAATTCTATTTATCCATGATTAGTAAAAGCTAATTGGTATCGCATAAAACGTGCAACAGAGACAAACACCCTACCTGTGTGTTCAAATCAGAAACTGAGGAAAATGCACATCTGTTTTGTGCAGAAGAGTTGGAGTCCAACCAGTTTCTGTGTTGAGAGGGTACACAGATGCCACAATGAATTCCATAGACACTTTAAACTGACAGTATGGAGACACTAAGTCTTTGTGATCTAATTGTTACTACCCTTTCCTTGCTAGATGATATATCATCTAGAGGGAAGGGTGTATTTTCAAAGTTAAACTTAACACTGACTAAAGGAAGGTGCTGTGTGAGGAAACTCTGGGAGTAAGAAGGGACACAATGAAGACCACTTGTCTGGCATACTTCTGGGTGCTGCTGAGGAACTACATGGGAGGGCCTAGGACTGTCCCTCGGGAGCCCAAGGTTGTTCAGGTTCTGTGCTAGGACAGTGAGGACCAGCAAGGCAGTGACCCAGTTTTCATTTACAGAGTCCAAGTTATGTTAGAGCAAAAGCTCCCATCTCACACTGATGGGACAACTGCCCAGGCCTGGTCTGGACCAAATGCTTTCTGAAGTTTTTATCTTCTCCTGCTGAGGCTTTTACCTGTGGGAGCTGAGATAGCAGTTCTGGCCCTCTGCTGCCCAGAACCTATATGGGCTCGCCACTCTGAGCTGTTCTGTTCAATCTCCAGCACATGGGCAAGGTGGCCAGTTGATAATGAAGCTTCTCCATGAGGCTGGGTGGTCCTGTGAAGGTGGACACTTACATTGTTTCCTAGATGCTCATAGGCAACACTGTTTTCTAGGTGCTCCCAGGCAGCTAACCCTGGACTTTGCCTGGGTCTACATCAATCTTTCATCTTGGCCCTTTGAATGGGAGACTGTGTCCAGGGTCCTCAGGGAAACATCTGACCCACTGCCTGATATGGGGAATCTCAGACACCACCCTAGCCTGCCCTGGCCCATATGCAGTCACCTCCTGATGAATTTGTGTGTGTTCCATTTCACTCAGCTATGATGGTGGCAACTGGGCTGTTCATAGGCAGTAGAAAAGAACAGCATCAGACCAAGAGACTGCCAGCCACATGGGGACTAGGGGTTCTGGAGGAGAGTATGAGAAATGCCAGTGTTCTTTTTGTTTCTCCAGACCAGCGAGGTCAGATTTCAGAATGGAGGCTCCACTACTTGGCTTTGAATGCCAGGTACTGCAGACTCTCAGAACCTTGGGAAGAAGCTGACTACAGGACCATCTCTATCCTCCAGTTGTAGCTGTGTTGAGGGGCTTGGTAACTTTGGATCTTCAGAGGGCCTTGTGGGAGGAGGTCTGGTATTGAGGCCCCTGCTTTTCTCTCTCAGGCTAGTAGGCAGTCTTCCCTCATGCTGCAGTGAAGATATGCTCTCTGGGCCCCAGAGGAGTAGATAATGTTACTGTGTGCTATGGCAGTGAGGAAGACAGCTTTGCTGTCTACCTGTGCTGTGCCAGGGCATGTAAGATGTCCCACCCTCAACAATCACCTGCTCTGGGAGCCATGTCCTGAGACCACTAGGTTCTTTCTAGGAACAAGAACACATAGTCCAGCAAGTTGCATGCAAAGAAACAATTGCTGTGGGGCTGTAATGATGGCAGCTCATGCCTTTGGGCCTGCCTAAGTGGTGCCCTTACACGTGGATAAGCTGAGTCATGTGTTCTCGCCTATGGCAGTAAAAGAAACCCTAGTAGATGCTGCAAGTCTTTTTTTGAGGGGGGAGGGGGTTAGTTCTGGTGTCCAGGGTCCTGGACTTGCACTTGAGAGAAAAGTTAGGAAATTGAACTCCGAAGTGGCTTCATAGAGCTGAAAACACATACTTTTGAGCAAAGCACAGCATAACTTGCCCTGGCAGAAGCTCCCATCTCACACTGGTGGAGTAACTGCCCAGGCTTGGTCTGGATCGAATGTCTCAGCATCATGTGTGTCCCAACATGGTGATGGGATAGAGCAAGGAGAAGTCATGGCAGCTTCATGTTCTGGATCTCCCTGGACCACTCTTGAGACCAAGTACATAGTCTTGCCATTTCTTAGACCAGCACTGAAAAAGCTTCCAGCTTCATGCTCCAAGTCACTCCCCCGGTAACCAGGGGGCTTCCATTGTCTCTTGGCCACCCTCAGCACAGACTTGGTTGATGAGCATGAGTCGTGTGTGTGTGTGTGTGTGTGTGTGTGTGTGTGTGTATGTGTGTACACATGTGTACTGATGTGAGCTGTTACACACACACACTGGCATAACAACCAGATAGCCTCAGTCTTGTCCTGTGGTCAGGAAAGATGAATTACTCTATGCAGTTGGTTAGTTCCTTAGCTCCTACTGCCCTAGAAGTGCCTGGATAAGTCAGTGAGTTCTGATGTCTGCTTTGCTCATCCTTATACCTACCAGCGCTCATAACACCCCTTTTTACCTGCAGATCAAGTGGCCAGTGTGGTATGATTCTGGGAGACAGTTTGGAAGTAGCAGTCCACTTCCCAGCTGTGGACAGAGCAGGTATGTTAGGAAAGGACAATGAATGATGGCCCAAACCTGGGGTCTGAGAGAGAAGTGTCAAAGCACCCAGCAGGAGGAGGCCTGGGCATTGCCCCTACCATTGCCTAGTGGAGGTGCATTTTGAGTTCTGCCCAGTTGAACATAGGAATGTAATGAAGTGCAATGGGTGTAAGTCCTGTGCCTGGCACCTGCAGTGTCCAGAGCTTCGGCCTGTCAGGCTACTTGCCCCCCTGCACCTTCTGGTCATAGGTGCCTGCATGCTTGTAGCCAGGCACATAACCTGACTCATCCACCAGGTCCACACGGCCAGCTTTGCCCTTGCCCTTTCCTGATTGGTCAAAGCGCTCTTTGTGGGAGCCTGTGAACTTGGTTGTGTCTGTGAGCCGTGACACCGTAGGTGAGGACACAGCTTTCTGAAAGAGAACAGAAGAGGGTGTTATCACAAGACAAGTGAGGGAGCTAGGTAAAAACTGCCACCATCTATTGCAGCATTTCAGTGGGAGGAGCTGGCAAGGAATATGAGTCTGCTAGGCCACATGTCCAGACAAGGGATTACCTCTCCTGGCTCCAGGTTAGCCCCAGACTTATGGGGCTAACAAGTCAACCGGGCCATGGTCTCCCCAAGGGCAGATGCAATCAAGAGTACTAAGCCCCACCCTTGCCTCACCCCCTCACCGTGACACCGGAGATGACGGGCGCTCGTCCCTCAATGAGCCGGTGCACCTCACGCACAGCCTCCTCGCTGCTCTTGTCCTTGAACCGCTTCTTAGCCAGCTCCTCCAGTGCCTCCTGGAACTGCTCAAAGGTGATGGTCCTGCAGGACTTCCCTCTGTGGGTGATAAGCCTATAAGTCCCCAGGTAGTGGTCCTCTGGGACTAACCCACGTGTATACCATCCCTCCCTTCATTCTGCAGTGATCCCTGCTGGTCACAGGCAAAAATCACCAGCAACAGCCAGCAGCCTGGAAAGAATGAAGGAAGCATATTCTTTAAGAACTGTTCCATGACAGTGTGATCTCTCCTGGGTGCGAGGGCAGAGGAAAAACCAGGAAAGAAGATCCCTTTATCTCCTCCAGGAACACCCTAGCCAGTCAAGGAGCAGGAGGGAGCCCAGGCCTAAACCCGGGTCAGAAGTGGCTCAGGAGGGGCTAAGATCCTGGTTATCAAAGTAGGCAAGATTAGGAGGAGCCATAACACCTGTCCCTATCAGGATCCTAAGCTGGAGCGGTGATGAGCGGTGATGAGCGGTGATGGGGCTTGAAGCTGACGCTCTCACCTACCGTGTGTACCCCTCCAAGGCTGTTCAGGTAGTATTTTTAAAAGTTATGAAATTATTTGTAGTAATTTTACTTTAAACCATTTTCAACTTGGCATTTACCCCCAACTAATCCAGATTAGTGACATTTTCAAAGTTTTGACATAATGTGAATGAGGCACAAGGCTGCAAGTCCTGAATGTTGCTGGGGAGTTTAGTCAAATGGCCTGAGATAAGCTACCTCTTATGGCCAGGCATGCCACTGACCCCAGCTGCCGTGCTGAGAGTTCAGGGCTTTAATACAGCTGACTGACAAAATCCCAGTGCGGCTCTTATGGCTGCCCATCAGCACAGGATCCAGAGCAGCCAAGATGAGTTTAAGAAAACACAGTTGCAGGCCTGAGACCACACTATTCCAATACACCTTACAAAAAGACAGTATGAGAGATACAAGGTCTGAGACATACAGATCAGTGTATCTGGAGTCCAGAAATGTCCACACAGGTGCCTAACTTGAGCAAGGTCAAGGAGAAAGGCATATTTCAAAAAATAACTAGAACAGCTGCTACCTCTTCAAAATAAACCAACTAGGATCCACAGTTCACACCACATGCAGAGTTTTCTCAGAGCATGACCCCAGAGCCAACTTTCTCCAGTACATTTGGTAGATAACCTGGGTGACCTTAAGGTGGGCAAGGTTTTCTTATAAATGATGCCAGATCATCATGTTCAGTAACAGAAAATGGGAAGACTGAACTTCAGAATATTAAAATCCATGCTCTTTCAAATAGCATTGAAGATAAATATCACAGAGCTGCAAAAAATACTAGGACACACAAACTTGAAAAGGAGCTTGTATCTGAAATGTGCCATGAAAAGAGTAAGAAGAGGAAATTTCAAATGAGCCAAGTATTTGGACCAGACACCTCACCAAAGAAAACCCATGGATAGGGAGCCAGCACACACAGGAAGTCACCCATGGGAACAGCAGAAGTAATGAGGGTAATGTCTGCTGCATGATAAGGAGGAATGACCATGAGCCAGTCTTTCTGGGAGGGTGCTTGAAGAGAAATGAAGATTTAAGCTCATGTTAAACCCATGTGTGAATATTGTACAGATTTTCTTCAGGCATTCAAACTTGAAAACCACCCAAATACCCTTTAGCAGTGGCCTGATGAAGCATTCTATGGACAGCATTGTGAGGATACACAGTGACAACATAATAACAAAGTGGACCCCCTAGTAGCTGGGCTAAGGAACCAGACCTGAAAATACTACTGTTCACATACACCCTGAATTTTTATTGGTGTCTAAAAGAGTCTCAAACTTTACACTTGTCTCAAACACATAGGAGAGCTGAGCCAAACATCCTTTGAGAAATGCACAGAACCCCATGGTGTGGGCCACCCCTACTTCTCAGGAGACTGGGGAAGCCACTGGGGTATTACACTTGGATCAAGAATACAGCATAGGAGCTAGAGCCCCACAGTGGGACTGTGTGATACTAGAACATTGTAGAACTGCCTGTGATACAGGTAATGGAGCCTCAGTAGATGCCTTGTGTCTTAGAGGGTGGGTTCTAGTCCTTCAGTGCTGTCAGCCCCAGCACTTACCAGCTACCTTTGGAATATTGGGTGATCCAGGGCACTTGAGCAGCTTGGCCTCATAGGCCAGTGGTGCCTGGGGCTGACAGCTTTTCCCTCTCGACTAGGACCTTCGGGGGGGGGGGGTGTTGATATAAGGCCCCTTGGGGCTGCTCTGTTTGTCCTGAGAAGTCAATGGCACTCTTGTCTCCTACTCACAACCCTTCCTGGGCTGACATGAGGATGCCAGGCCTAATGGCCAGCCTAGCAACCCGCTGCTGGGGCACACAGCCCTTTCTGGGCAGCCTCGGCACCAGGCACCACCAGCATGAGTCACCGGGGGATGGAGTAACTGGAGGGGCTCTTCCATCACAGGCCACATTCAGATAGAGCTGGATGTTTGCCCCACTGGTACCAAGAATCCCTTTCTGGCCTGTGTTGTTGGGGAAAGGAGGCCCTGTCTTGGTGCCCAGTTCACAGGGAACTCTTCTCAGGAGACCCAGGCAGAATCCCCAACTAGCTCTGGGGAGACAATGCCCATTTCTTCCTTACAATGAGAAAACCTCTTCAGGGTTCTCCTACACAGTAAGTCTATATCTAGAGCTCCCAGGACTGAGGACTCTTCCTGGGGCTTGGCCTTCCCTGCCTTTAGCTCCCAAGCTGTCCAAAGCTAGCCTACAAGTGGGTGTCTGTTCAAATGTACTCCAGGAGCCTGGGATTGTTTCCCAGGCCCTGTCCCCATATGTGCAGGGCACCTTCTCAGTCTCTTGGGAACCCTGGGACCTGGCTAGGGAGGTCAGGACCCAGTGTCAGGCAACAGAGTCCTCTGAGGAAGGTCTACTCCTCTATGGCCAATACCACAAACACTACCACTCCCCACCTCAGCTTTGAACTTTCACAGAGCCCCTAGTCTAGCCTATTCACCTTTGTGAAGGAGTCCCTGTCAAAGCTTGAGTAATAAGAAAACTCTTAAGTGGTGAAAGATGAGGTACAGAGGACAAGACAGGGATGCCTGGCTTCTTAGTTCCTGGAATTTACAGAAGCTGTTGCTTCTGAAGTAACCACTAGGGAGTATCCTTGTCAGCGAGATACTTGTCAGCAGGCAGAGAAGGTGTTTCTGGGGTGGAAAGATATACCCTCCCTATACATGTGGTGGTCTGAGGGCAGTTGAAGGACCTGGAAAGGACCCCTGGGCAGTGAGGACCTCTAGTCCAGGATCTTACCTTGCAGGGATACTTCCTCATAGGAAGCCCTTCTGGAGGCTTTCTGTAGAAATAATATGGGTGTTGACCTGAGCCTGTTGAACCATAGAGCAGCCTCAGCTGCCATGGGCCTCAAGTTGGCCGTTGCTACCAATGTCTCTGACTCTTTAGATGTGTTCAAGGGGGGTGCAGAAATCTGGTCATTCTCTTCAGACACCAGTCTCTTGTTTCTTTCTCAGGTCTCTCCCATGCCCACTGACTAACCATCTACCTCAAGATTCAGCCTTAGGCTCTGTGCTGATGCTGTTGAAAGTCTAGGCCTGTCAGTTCTTTGTACCCTCAGCAGGTCACTGGACCCAGGATATCCCTTGGGAGCAAGCAGTGTGCTCTCTGCCCAGAGGGGCCTGGATGCTGGTCAGCTACAAGGATTCTGCCTGTTCCAGGAAATCAGAGGCCAGCAGCAACACTGCTGTAGCCCTGCTCTGGGCACATTCCAGATGTTTGTTTACAGGCAGGCACCAGCTTGCCTAGAGGGGACATCTGTAACCTGCAGCATCATTACTTCCCTCTGTTGGGGACAAGTCATCCTTAAAGCCTCTTCTCAGTTGTCACTTTGTGTTTTCCAAGGGGCTGGAGGTTGTGGGATAAACATTCTCCAGGTGACCCCAAATGAGCACCCCATCTGCCCACCCCCACCTCATGGCTCTGGCCTGGACTGAGTAGGGGTGAACCATTAGGACAGATGTTCCTGCGGTTGTTCAGACAAGTTATGGATATTCATTCTCTTACATGTCCTTTATAGCCAACTTCCCAAGGCTAGGTGGAGGAGCTGAGGAGCTGAGGAGCAAGAAGGTACCTCTCATCACAGCGGCCTGATCCTTACCTGGTTACTGAAGACTCACCAGAGCAGATGGAGCCTTGACCACAAAGCCACAGGGTCCACTAGCTCAATGATTATCGGGCAAAAAAAAGTCTACAGGTCCTGTCTATCCCCCAGCAGAGGTCAGAACCTGGAGTTTCCCTGCAGGCGTCTGAGGGGGTCACACTGCACTGCCATATGTAGCCACTAGAGGGCCATGCAGAAGCAAGAATAGTAGCAAGGCTTCAGACACTGGGACACCTGAAGACTCAGATGCATGCTGGATCTTGCTCTATTCAAGGCCTGCAGGGTTAAGCCACTTTCCCCTGGAGCATGTGACTGTTAGTCTTACCCAAGACCCAGGAAGTAGAGCCTGAAGGAGGAGCTCCAGGGACATGTGTGCCATAGGTGAATGGAACTGGGTGGGTTCCACAGTCAGGAACAGAGGCTGCCTCCAAGAGTCCTCACATGTCCAGATTCCTGGATCTCTGGGATGTTTGGGTGGGTACACACAGAACCCTGTCCTTCCCATGGGTTCCCAAAACTCTTGCCAGGACTCTCCAGACCTAGAGCCTGTTCCTAGGAGTAATGGTACATTAGCCCAGGTAGCTGATTGCTGAGCCTCCTCAGCAGCATACAGATGTCAGAAGAATCCCAACAGGCTTTGCTGACTAGCTGTGGCATGTAAGGAACACCAAGCGACTCATATACTCAGCAGTGGCTGACAAGTCTCAGGCTAGACAAATCTAGACCCTGCTTTCTACATGTAGGGACTGGCCTTGCTTCCTTCTGACCTGTATCCAGACATAATGGACACCCAGCCCCGATACCCTAGCCAAATTACTTTCTGACTCTACACAGTGTTGGCAGGAATCCATGCATTTACTCTGGAGGGTACCCAGCACCCAATCCTGGCCCAGGGAGGCCAAAGATCTCTGGGCCTCCTCATCTGGTAGTATGGTGGTCACAGTAAGTAGGCAGTAGGTAAGCTCAGCCCAACCCCGAGGCTCCTACACCTCTTCTTCCACAAGCATAGGCAGGTCACACCAGATACTCAGGCACATAGACCCATTACAGACAGTCCCACAAGGACACGATCCCGAGGGCTCCCAGGTGCCTCTCAAGCTGCACCCCTGGCCTTGCTTCAGTGTCAGGCCTCTGTTAACTGTGTGGAGACTGACCATGCTGAGCCTTTGGCAAGATGGAGAGTCTAGGTTAACAGTAGTCCACAATAAAAGTTGGTATAGAGCTTCAAGAAATTTGTTTAAAATTTAACACATAGTAACATCAAAACAAACAAGCGCTGCCATGGTGACAGGGACCTAAACAAAGGCTGCAGATACCCCAGCTGGCGCCACGCCTGCAGAGCCATGGCAACCTGCCCCAAAACAGAAATAGTTGAACTTTTTTTCTCTCAAGTCCTGTCAGAGTCAGCAACTTCCTGGAGGTACCTAAGCAATTTCCTCCCAGGCCCCAAATTCCCATAGGAGGCAAAGTCCTCTGCAGCTGCCATTGCTGTCCCTCAGGGACCACAAACACCCAGCTCTCATAATACAAACAGTGCCACCACGGCCACAATTTTCCTGGAAATCTCAATCCCAGAGTTCCTCAGTCCTTCTTGTGAAGCCCTTTCAGTATTCTCCCACCACCCTGGTACTCAGAATACTGTCCCCTTACACTTGAGGACAGCATGAGTCCGAGGCGAGTCCAAATCTTCTGTTCACACATGCCTGTGAGGTGAGGCTCTTCCTCAAGAACAGAGATGTTCCAAGTGGGACATAGGTCATAGCCCCAATAGAGTTCAGGTTCTGAGAGGGAAGGAGAATTCAACGATGGTAGAGGTGAGGGGATGGCAGCCTCTAGGTTCTCAAGGATCCAGGTGTGAGGGCAAAAGGAACATCAGAATTTCTGGGCCTCTACTTAGTGCAGGATCCTCACCTAGGCTCCCCCAGCCACCCAGCTAGACACCTGCCCCAGTGTGTACCCACAGTGTCAGCAAGCACAGCTTTAGAAGATAGCGCTTACAGCTTGTCTGCCTAGACCATCACAGCCTTGAGCCTTTTTTGGGCTTCTGCATACACTTGCTTTCCAGAACTTTGAGTTGCAAGGCAAGGAGGGACCCTCCAAGGTTTCCAAGCAGCCCAGAGTCTACAGTGAAGAATGGCTGTGTCCTGGAGTCTGAGCATCTGAAGTTCTACATTCTGGAAATAAGCATTCCCTTCACATGGCTCACTCATATGGGACATGTGGAGCTGGAGTTCTCAGTCCTCTGTGGCCCACATCATCCAAAAGACCCATGACCACATAGTATCACCCACTGAGAGGCTGTAAAAACACAAGTCCTACATGGGGTGGGGTGCACATATAAAGGCACATAACAGCTGGAAGGTAGCTTTCTTCAGAAGAAACTGGAGAAGCTGACTAACCTCTGGGCAGATCACTTCTTCCTACCTTCCAACAATCCCTTCTAGAAGCTTCCTCAGACACAAGTTGCTGGGTCTCCTTGTTCTTGGGTTAGTTCTTTTTTTTTTTTTTTTTTTTTTTGGTTTTTCGAGACAGGGTTTCTCTGTGTAGCTTTGCGCCTTTCCTGGAACTCGCTTTGGAGACCAGGCTGGCCTCGAACTCACAGAGATCCGCCTGGCTCTGCCTCCCGAGTGCTGGGATTAAAGGCGTGCGCCACCACCGCCCGGCAGGGTTAGTTCTTGATTATCTTGAGGACATGGTATCATGAGGGACATGTCTAAGAAGAGCATGATGAGCTCACTGGCCTTGCTTAAAAGACACCCCATGTGCTCTCAGTGTAGGAACAGCTTCCAGGGGTTCTGGTAAGCTCAGGGTTGGGTCTGTAAGGGACACCTGCTGGTGAAGGAACATGGGAAAAGATAAGGTGAGGAGCTGTCCAAGTTCATTGCCAGCTTAGACATGGTAGTGATCTCCATAAAGCGATCAGCTTTAACTGTGTGCACACACTAGACACAGCGAACTGAGTTTTTCTAGGTCGTAGTGTTGCAGGGCATGTCTCCAGGCCTGACACAAGCTCTTGGCCCCATGATGAGAAAATTGTCTGTATCAGAGGCTCTAGTGCTGATCATTTTTGCAGCCTGAGTCGGTGCCCCTCACTCATGGCTGGCCAACCTACCAGAGTACCTCTGTTTACCAGGACCTACCTGTCTATCCCTGCCTGGAATTTCCAGTGGAACCCATAAGGCCAGTTTCTCTGAGGAGGCTGCACATTTCCCAGCAGGTGACAGCCGGGACAGGCCATGTGATGAGCACAGTAAGTTCTACCAAGTCTGGGAAAGCCCCCAACAGACAAGGCCCAGAGTGGTGTCAGTACCCAAATTCAGGGGCAGTCACTTTGATGAAATTTAGAGAATCTCAGGGACTATAAGCAACAAGATTTCTTGGTCAGTTATGGAGGAGCAGCAGCAGTATGGAGATCCTTCGAGCTGATAGACGTCTTGCTGCATGCATATGCCTGTGTCCTTATGACCTGTTCTATCTTCAGTGAGTATGCAGTCCTATTTAGGGACTTGGGGGAAGAGCCACCTTCCTTCTTATAAAAGCAATAGAATGGGGTCCTTCTTATAAAAGCAATAGAATGAATATATGATGTTCAGTAGACCCTCCTCTGCGGGAGTCACATAGGGGCCAGTGCTGCTCAACAGCATTGCACATAGAAGAATCTGTGGAGAAAGAAGGGTTTAGAAACCCAAGAACCACAGTCTAGAGGTTCATAGGATCCCTGGCCAAGTGCCTCCCAGATAGGCTTGGGAAGAACTGGTGCCAGTATTATCACAGTGGAACCTGGCCAGAATAGAGATGAGAGCTTTCACAGTGAGCATCAGGGTAAAGTGATCACATCTGAGCCACTGGCCATAATTTTTTCTTACATCCTAACTCACAACAATTGAACTTCAGGACAAGGTAGGTCTGAGTCATCACAGGAACAGGATCTGAGATGGATGGGAAAGGGGGCTAGGGGTAACTCTGTACACACAGCATCTGCATTCAGAGATTGAGGCTGCATGGAGAGTCTCTTCTTCAGCTTCTCATTGGGGTTGAAAGCCACAAGGAAACAGAGCAAGCAGAATGGACCAGCTCAGACTTCTCTTTGGAGTCCTCTGGGGTCAGTGGAGCCTGGAGAAGGTCAGGAGGCAGAGCCCCTTTGGGATACGTTTCTCAGTCTTTCCAGTACAACTCTTCAAATCTAAGATACTCCAGACACACTCTCATGTACTATGTACAATAGGAAGTTCACCGGGGGGCATGGGATTCAGATTTTCTTGCTTTGTAGAATCTCAAACTCCCAGTACACAGCAAAGTTGATATCAGCATTGGGATGGTGGAGACAGCTAGGCTCTGGCTCAGTAATCTCCACAGAGTCCCTTCCTAGGAGCCAGGACCTTGAAAATTCTGGCTCAGCCTTCTTTCATCTCTCTCAACCAGGATCTAGGGGAAGCTACAGCTGGCTTCATCTGGAACAGAAAGATATCAGTATCCCAAGTCCCCTGGTCACGGTGCCCTGCATCTAGTAATGGTTTACTTCACCTCTTCCCACTGGGACACAGGTTAAATCCCTCCATCTTGCCAGGAATGTCTAAATTCCTGGCATGAGATACTTGTTGGAGCTCTCGTGAGCCATCTGCCAGGCCACCTCTACCTTTCTGCCTGTTGCTCAGAGACCCCTCCAGGCACAGTGCACAACCTGGGGGCAGGGAAGCCTTACTATGCCTAGAGAACACCAACAATTCCACAATCAAAATGGTGATCAACAACCACAGTTATGAAGACCACATCACCCACCCAAAGCCAGAGGAGGAAGTAATGCTCAGCTGGTAGCACCCACAGAGATCAACCACAGGACCTGACAGCACACAGATGTTTGACAACACAGGAGATGAATGGCCACTCTCTGATTTGTATCAATTTGTCAGCACGTGTGAGCATTTCTCAAGTGAAAAATCAACAGAGATGGACAAGGAACTGGAAGAGGGAGTCATGAGCCACTGCCATATCCTGGAAACAAGGCCAAACAGGCCTGGCCACCACACTAACTAACCTCATAGTCTCAGCCCACGGTGACTGGGTCTCTGTTCACCTAAGCAGATCCTGATCATGTCTAGCAACAGCTCACTGACCTGAGTATTGGTTAGAGTTAACTAAGTTTTCTCAAGTCCAGAAAGCCCCCACCCAAGGCCTAACAGACTGAGGCTAAGACCACAGTTCAGGACATGGCCAAGGAGTTCCATGGCACTTGGGGCCAATGTACTCCCCAAACCATCCCAGACACTTCTGGAGGCTTGAAGCTAAGAAGTGGGCACGGAATCTGCAAGCAAGATACTTCAGGGACCCTCACAGCTACTGCTATGAGCTGTGCTACCTAAGCCTGCATGACACTTACTTGATCTTGCTGAAGACAATGTCCACATCAGTGACAGTCACATTCTTCCCATCGATCACGTGGCAGTCCTTGCACAGTTTCGACCAGTTCTTGCCGTGCATCTCCTTCCCTGTTGCCCTGGTGTCCCCATGTACGGCAAACCGCCGGAAGGCCTCCTCCAGGGCACTGAGTTCAGGGGCTGCAGCTGCCCCCTCATTTGTACCCTCTGACTCCAGTGACAGCCTCTTAGCAGCCTTGTCCTTGGCTGGGTCTCCTGGGGACTTGGGTGGTGTCCTGTTGGCAGCTTTGGCAGGCTTGGCCTTGCTGTCAGCCATGGTGCTAGGGAAGAAGAAGAAAAGGGTCATTCTGCTTCTCACAGCCCATCTGTGTCCCTGGTTCTAGCTGCAGTATGTGGTACCAGGCAACAAGATATGGCAAGAGCTATGCCGGGCGGGGGGTGGTGGCGCACACCTTTAATCCCAGCACTCGGGAGGCAGAGCCAGGCAGATCTCTGCGAGTTTGAGGCCAGCCTGGTCTACAGAGCGAGATCCAGGACAGGTCCCAAAACTACACAGAGAAACCCTGTCTCAAAAAACCAAAACAAACAAACAAAAGATATGGCAAGAGCTGAAGAACATGCTCTCTAGGCGCTGGGACCCCTCTGAGCTGAATTCCCAGCAGGTCAGTGTTGGACCTGGAACTGACCCTGCCAGCATGACACATGCAGGCTCTGGGCAAAAGAGACAGGGTCTGACTCAGCAACAGTGGGTTGTACCTTGATCCCCCCAGCTGCATTTCCATAGCCTCCTCCCTGGGCCTCACCTACTGTGGGTGACTGCCTGGAGGGATGCTTAGAGTCTATAAAATGATGCCATCCTTAGGACCCAGGCCAGTCATGCCATGCTTGCTGTCCCTTCTGATCAGAAGATGAGATATGCCCGGGTGTTGAGTAACCCTGAAGACACACTATAAGGGCCCACCCTGGGATCCTAGAACATGCAGTTGGCCCTTGGGCTCAGAGGAGGGAACCCATAGGGAAGCCTGAAGTATAGCCATAGTCTTTGGGTTTTTTGGGCTGTTGATTCTCAAGACAGGCAGACATCCCTGAAGGCTAAAAAGACTGAGGAGATGGTGTCACCTCCCAGCAAGACTCAGGAGCACAAGGATAAGCAGATGATCCCAACATGGCCACTGTTGTTCCAGCAAGGGCCGGCACATGCCATTTCCAGCTGGGGAAACAGAGATGATGAGCTCCCAGTTAGCATCTCTCTGGGAACTGAGTGCTTAACAGTTCAATGCAAGAAGAGCTCCTGGTATAGGCACACACTCCATAGAGGGTCGGTGACAAAGTTGAAATGTGCAGGCCTTGTGCAGACTGGAGATCTCAATGTCAATGTGACCAAGGCATAGCTTACCCTAAGGGATGTGAAATGTGGCCCCTGCTGAGCTCACAATGGTTTGAGTTCCATAAACAGCCAGAATGACACAGATAACAGTCAGTCACAGGGCCAGGTCCCCTTCTTGCTCACCCCCTTTGAAAATGGTAATAAAGGCATAGCAGAAAAGTTCAGCCTTTTTGATGAGAGACTCTTCTTCAGGCACTCCAATGCACCCCCAAATGGAACTTCTTGGGGGCCCCAAACAGGGCAGATGAGGACATCAAAGGTTAAATGGGAAGCTCAAACTGAGTGTGACGCTCAGGAGTTCCTGTATCCCCACAAGACATGACTCAAGGTGAATCAACTCCATCTACCTGATCAGTTACCTGATCTTCTGCCCTGGGCCCTCACAGGATATTGAAACACAAGATGGGTCCTGCCCTTCTGAGGACTGCAGGACACTAAGGCAGGTCAGATCCTGGCAAGCAACAAATTCAAGCCAAGCGAAAGAACTCTGAGCAAACCAGCAGCAGGGAAATGGCACATTAGGAAAGTGATGGCATATGTCTCCCACTGATGTGGCCACTCCTCATCAGGCAGGTGTCAGCTGTGTTCTGTCCAGGTTCCTACAGCACATTGGCCCCACAAGCCAGTGAACAGGTACCAGGGTGGGGAGGGTCCTCGTGGGAAAGAGTCAGAACCACAGGGGGAGCGGACGACCCTCACTTGCAGCCCACACTGTTCATCTGCTGTAGGAGAAAGGCTTCTGGGCAGGACTCCTACCCACATCCAGGGGACTAGGGATTGCAGAGGGATTTCAGAGAGCTTATTAGTTGCTGTGACACTCTAGGAAGATGAGTGATCCTGAGTCGGGGCAGCAGTGAAGGCTGAAAGGCATCTGCACAAAACAAGAGGAAGATGAAGTAACATCCAAGTTGCTGATAGTCTGGAAAGCAGAACCCATCTCAGCTCAACCCTGGAATAAGACATCCAGGAGCTTTTTTGGACCCTGTGGCAAAGCAGCTGACATCTATGGTTTCACTGAGTAGCTGACAGCATGGCCACACTATTTTATAGCCCCAGTGCCAAGATTTTTCAGCAGGATCAGCCCAGTATGAGGTCTACATAGCAACCACTGAAGGGCACCAGCAACACTTGCACAAAGACAGGCTGACACAGGAGGGTTGAGACCCTTCCCTGGGTGGTGCTCAGGATGCACCTTGGCGCTGTAGTCAGGCCTCCAGACTTTGCTTCCATCTTGGATGTGTTTTACCCTTAACATGTATTACCTGAATAGCACATCAAAAAAAGGTCTTTAAAATAAAAGTAGCAGTGGGTTAGGTCCTAACTTTGTGGGTACACAAAGACCACTAGACTATTACTTGTTCTGTGAAAGAAAGAGGAAGGGTCCTGTGCTATCAGAGCACACCCAGGAGTAGACTGTGAGGACACAGAGCTCTTACCCACAGGCTGTCTTTTCTAGTGTGAACTGCTCCACTAGCTCACAGTGATAGCAGTGAGAAAAAAATATGAATCTAAAGGTATCCTGAAATATGGAGGTACCTACAGGCCTAATTCTCTCCTTCACTCCTCCAGTGTTGTGGGATGGCCACAGCCCTTGCCCATCTCCATGCAAAGTCCCTGGCCTCCTGGTTTTCCTCTCCACAGCATCTGAGGCAAAGTTAAACCCAGCACTCGGGAGGCAGAGCCAGGCGGATCTCTGTGAGTTCGAGGCCAGCCTGGTCTCCAAAGCGAGTTCCAGGAAAGGCGCAAAGCTACACAGAGAAACCCTGTCTCGAAAAACCAAAAAAAAAAAAAAAAAAATTAAAGAGACCTTGGTGTGTCCCACTAAAATTTCCATCAGGGAAGTTAGGCTTTAGAAGAGGTTCCAGGAAGGCACCTGATCCACCAAGTATGGTGGTGAAGGGATGATAATCTCTTAGGTGTGAGTCCTGTACCTCAAATACGTATCCTAGATATGCATTGCATCCATAGGATATACCTTTCTTGATAGCCTGTAATTCATTGTCTCTCAGCCAGAAGGATGTACACCAAACTTCATCCTATGGAGTCTGCCTATCAGCAGTGTCCTTTCCTGGACCAGCCTCCTTCAGCAGTGATTGCCCTAGGAGCCAAGAGAGAAAGTATTGTGGAGGAGGGGAGTGGCGCCAGCTGGTGACCCAGCGATGGCTGCTTATGTTCCCTGAGGGGCCAGGAGGACAGGAGATGGTAACTTATCCACAGCAGCACTGAGTGCAGGGACAGACTGTGTTACCAGATTTGCATCTTCAGACCAGGCCTGAGGAGGGCAGGGGAGGCCAGCGAAAGGTAGAATTACAGAGGGAACATGGTCAGATGCCAGAGACAGGGCTTTCTGCAAACCCTGAGGGCCCCCTTAGCTCAGGCAGGATTTCTTGCATCCCATATACCCCGTCTTCCTTGCCAACTCCAAAGGATTGACTTGTTCCCAACAAAGCCCATAGGAAATCAATTGAACCCCATTTTTAGAGTGAAAAATACTGAAGCAAATCCTAAAAATAAAATAAACCAGTTTCTTGAAGAAAACTATAACAGTATATTTGGAAAAGAGATCAGTTGGTGCCAAGGTGAATTTGATTCCTAGAACCCATGTTTAAAAAAAAAAAAACCAGACATGGTGGTATGTATTTATAATCCCCCATACATTGGGGAGATGGAGACAGAGCAATAGCCAGCCAGTCCAATTAGTGAGTTCTGAGAAATGACAGTGAGGCTGCTTTCTGGCTGCCACATGTACACACACACCCACATCCATACATGGTACACCTGAGCACATACCAACATGTACACATGTACCTCCACCATCAAAAAAGAAAGAAAGAAAAACCTAAAGGTGACAAAGGAGAGACTTTGTCACTAAGTTCAACTGCTACATAACTCAGGGCACAGCCCTGTTACAGGAGAGTAGAAATGAGGGGATCAGTAAATTTTCTGTAAGCAGGGCAAGGAACCTATTGCTACAACCAGATGCCTACAAGGAAAAGGTGTCCGTGAGCAGAGAAGGAATCTGTGAATGTGACGAGTGTCCATGAATAAAGTAGGTGTCGTGACTAGGACAGGTGCCCGTGAGTGGACAGGTATCTGTGTGGGGGGCAAGCGTCTGTAAACAGAAGAGAATATGGAAAGGAAAAAGAAAGCACTTCTGCCTCTCTGGAGAATCCCCACAGGAGCACACAGGGCAGGGATAGCTCTTTCTTTAGAATGTTCCATGAACGCCATTTCATCCTGGTCACTGGAGGTTGATAGGGCATGGAGAATCATAGGGCACGAAATAAGCAATCTCCAGATAAATCTAGGGAGGTGAGACTTCTATCTACTTGCAAGACACATGCCACTCAATCCCTGACCACCAGACAAGCTGTTTTCAGTTCCACAGGCCTCAGCAGCAAAAGTGAGGCTAGGGACAGCTAATTAGAAACTGTGCCCTGAAGTTCAAGAGAGAGAAGTCTGTCTAAGATGAGAAGAGAAGAAGGAGGAGGAGGAGGAGGAGGAGGAGGAGGAGGAGGAGGAGGAGGAGGAGGAGGAGGAGGAGGAGGAGGAGGAGGAGAAGAAGAAGAAGAAGAAGAAGAAGAAGAAGAAGAAGAAGAAGAAGAAGAAGAAGAAGAAGAAGAAGAAGAAGAAGAAATGGACAATATCCACTTGGAGCTCACTTCCTCCTCCTCACTACATCCCACCAAGGCTTGAGTCCTATTGGACCCCATGTAAAACCAGGGTGAGGCCAACTGTGTGGGATCTAGACACATCCAGCTAGCCCCAGAGAGTGCTCATCTGAGGATGGGTCACAGGCAGCCTGCCCTATACAAGCTCTGTACTTTAGAGTGTACTTATACACAACACATCCTTTGATAATTGTTTGTTTCATTAATAATACAGCCACACACCCTGCTTCTCATCAGGATACTTCATGTGAGTGGCCTCTTATCTCAATGGGAACTTCTATCCTGTGCAAAGTGAACTCCCACAAAGTGGGCATTTTCTGAATGTGTATATCCTGCAGGCACACAGAGGCAATACCAGAAGCCCAAATCTATCAGGAAACCCAGCCAGGCCCCTTGTCATCCATGTCACATCTACACAGTGCATCCAGAAGCCTACAGCCCAGAGTATGACTAGGGCTGACTGGGATGGTACACAGTCTCAGTCACTGCTCCAGAACAGTCACCAGGATTGGAGTCCCAAGGCCAGGGTGCTGCCTACAAGGTGACCTGAGAACCAAACCCTGTGCTTCTCACTGTGTCTAGGTCAAACAGAACACAATTCTCCTGGGTGTTGTAGGGAAAGGGGAGCCCAGTATCCATATCCACTCATTTCCTATACCCGAGGCCTGAGCAGTACTGTAGGCAGAGCAGGACTATATGCTCCAGAAAACCCCACACTTTTAGGGAGGGGGTATTCTGGGCAAGGAGAATGGGAAACCACAGAAGATAAGAAACTGAGGAAATTCCTAGACCCCTCTATCCACCTATGTCCTTCTTTGTATTCAATATCTATGGCAACAGAAGTGGGCCCAGAACTCCCCAAAGTCACTGACTGCTCTATCCAGCTACCTAGTGTCCCTACCTTCCTGGAATTCACATATCAGGCCTTGCTTACAATGTTGCCCTGACTGCCCCTCAATAGGGAATACAAGGGTACAACCACTTTCAGGAGTGACCATTTGAACTTCTGGCTTACAGTTCTAAAACAAGAGAATGAGGATAGCCACCATTCTTGGTTATGGGAGTCACATAAATACCTTCTAAAACTAACAAATGCAACAAACCCCTGTCATTAAGTGGAAGCCTAACATTGAGCATGTAGAAGAACCATGAGACATTCCGGAGTGTTTAGTGACTCCTTAAGGTGTCCCCACTGTCCAGCCAGAGACCAGGTTTCCCCAGAACCCTGGATGGCTGTAGAAATGTGAGTAGAGAGTAAGAGAGTGGTAACCCCCTCATATTCAGCATTTAATATGAAATCCAGGCTCTAGAAAATTGTCTAAGGCCAGTAGTGAGTACTAAAATCAAATCCCATCACACATCATCTAATCAAATACTCTTTCTAAACCATCCTCCAAAATATTTGCCAATACAGCATTCTACACGAGTCCAAATGGATAAAAATCAAGATCAAGAGATGTGCTTATGTGGGTCCATGTTCTGGGGTTAAGTTACAGCAGAGATGCTATATGACCATTCCTTCAAGTGTCTACCTCACAGTTGCATGCCAATGTCTGCCATCATGCTCCCTTTAGAAGCTCCATGGGGCAGGTTCTGAGGATGCTGATGAACCGGTAGATGACTGATTCCTAATTCAACATCAACATGGCTTCATGATCACCAAATAAGACAAGTATCTACACCTTAATGCCAGGACCTCTGCATGGAACCTGGTTTGGAAACAGGGTCTTGACATGAAGTCAACCTAGATTATCCACAATTGGAAGGTAAATTGTATGCCAATCTCCACCCTTCTCCCCCTGCAAGACAGAGACCAGGCAGTGCTGTGTCTGCATGCATCCCTCCAAAAGTATGAGGCCTTTGGGGGAGGGATTAAATCCGGTTCCTGGGCTCTTGTGAGTGGAGTAAGACCTCCCAAGAGTGCTGTAAGGAATTGGCTGAGGCCTTTCTACCATGTGGTGACATAGGGTCTGACCTCTCCTCTGGAGTATGTTCCAAGAAGGCACTATCTTAGAAGCAGCCACCCTTATCAGAATGTGACCCTGCAGCGCCTTGATCCTGGACTTCAGCCCCCAGAACTGTGAGAAATACATTTCTGTTCTGTATAAATTCTCCATCCTTGGCATTTTGTTAGAGTAGCATAGGTAGACTTGAGAGAGAATTACAAGACCTCTAGACTGTCAGAGTGTCAAGGCACAAGGCCAGGAATGCCCGAGTAACCTGAAGCTGGGGGGCAGGAAGGACCTACCAGAGCCAAGGCAGGAACACAGCTTACTTGATACATTGAACTTCTGGCTTCCAGAACTGTAGGAGAATGAGTTTATGTTATGTTAAGTCATTCAGTGTGTCATTGTCATCACACAGCTTCTAAACTCTGACCAGAAGAGGAAGCAGGACTCTGAGACAGAGCAACTTAAGCAGAGGCCTCATGAGGGCAAAGCCAAGTGAGGGGGTCAGAGGGTCAGATGGGGCTAGACCAAGAGGTCTTGGGAAGTCAACCCAAGGTGAGTTTTGCATGGAACTACATATGGCACTGTCTTCTGTGACACCCATCTCACCTTCAATTGTTATGTGCTGGGGCAGAGAAAGGGAGGTGCACAGACAAGGTGAGCAAAGATGTAGAATAATCACACGGCACACCTACAGGGAACTTGAGGAAGATAAGCTCCTGTGCCCATCTACTACTGTCCACAGCCAAATTCTCTTGTGTAGGGAAGATTTGCCACAGTACATACAGTACATACTCCCAAAAGGAAAAGATTCTAAACAGCGCCAGACTGGAATTAAAAACTTCTGCTTATCAAAGAGTATTAAGAGACTAAAAGAGTATTAAGAGACAAAGCTCAAATAAGGAAAAATTGTTGTATACAACAAACACTGACTTGTCCAATATACAAAAAGCATCTATAGTCAATAAGAAAAAAAAGGGAGATTACTCAACAGAACAAGACAGTCCAGGGGAGAGCCAGAGAACACAAGAAATGCCAAGCTTCATTAGTATAATCAGGAAAGTGCAGACACAACCCCAAACCAGATACCAGACACACCTTGCAAGGTGGGGACATTTAAGACTGACCTAGGCAATTGTTGGTGGAATGTGGAGCACAGAGCACCATATGGGAAGGTAACTTGTGGGACACCCCCTGCTCACTAAATCTGAAGGTTCACATAATCTGAGGCCCAGCAACTTCAGTTCTTCAGGAGCCTTTCAGTTTGTAGGAGAGTTCAAGGCAGCTGTATTCTTGATCTCCCAACAGGGAAGCAACGAAAGACAGTTGAAAGAAGAGGTTCACAGAACAGAAAACTAGAGCTATGAGTGAGTCTGCTTAGACTAAAACTAATCAAGACAGTCCAATAGGATTGTTGCTGTGTGATTTCATATGTGTAAAGGTCAAAAACACAGGCAAGAGCTAAGCCAGTGTTCAGG